TGATATTCCAGAAGGATATACTGTAGGAATCAACTCAATTCGGCACCCCCATGTGACCATGACATGCCAGGTCGATTTGACATTCCGACACTTAGGCCTGTGATGTGTGACATGCTGAAAATTTTCGACACCACAAGTCAACACCAATGTGATGACTAAGTACTTACACCTAAAATATTCCTAATTAGGCAGTACCATGATAAGTATGAAATGTTAAGTTTTCATTTTGGAGGTTAAGGACAACAACATTGTATTGAAATGAATGTCATTAAAGCCCCTCAACAAATGCACCCCCTCCTTGAGCTACCAAAGGATGCTCTCATTCAGATTCTCCCCCAAGGAAACCTGTCCATGCTCGAATTCTTATCCTTCAAATTTCCTGCCATCATGGTCACTACAAAACACACAAGTGTTGAAGCATTCTTCGCTAAAGATCAGCCATCCCTTTGTGATGCCCAGCTCATACAAGATTTTCCTGACACAAACACTTGACATGCTTTCCAAATCAAGTTCCGAGGCCGTAGAGAATGGAGCATTGTCGCTGGAGTGTGCACATCTTACAGGTGATGCCACCAAGACACAACTCCCACTCTGGGTTCTCACCTACTGGTGTGAAGTTGCAATGCTTTGTCACAAACATCTTGAATCATGGATCTGGGCTGAGCAAAACATGGAAAGGAGGACTCAGCTATGGAAAAATGAGGAGGGTGAAGAAGCTCGAAGATTTCAACAAAGATTTATAATGCTCTTACCTGCATTTCGTGGACTGAGAAACTCAATGGTTTTGCTGTTGCAGAGCCCGTTGTCGAGCTAACAGCATATGCTACTGACGAGTGGCTGTCGGATGTCCATGAAAATCAGATGCTCGACCTACTGCAGAGGAGACTTCAGCGTCAGCCACAACAGAAAAAGATCGAGATCGAGAACATTTACTTTTATGGCTTCTTGACGAAGGCATATGAAATACACAGCTCAGGGTAATACGAGGGCCAGTATTTTGCACGTGCACAGTGAAACAGGAGATGTGATGGCTTCAGGCCTCAGCAGTTGTATTGTATTCTTGGTTAACGTCCATGACAACCACTGGGCTGCAGTCATCATCAACTTTGAATCCTCTACAATCTTCTATGGTGATTCCATCTATAAAAAACCTCCGACTGGGTTCCTTGCAGTGCTACACTGGTGGACACACCATCACACTGGTCAACATTTCAAAGAGGAATCACTTATTATCACCCACCAGCAGGATAGCTTCTCATGCAGGCTTCTCTCATTTAATGCACTTGCACATCATGTTCTCCCCTCGGAATACCCCTTGATCCTGGCTTTGCAAGTTAGGAATGGTAGGCTCAAAGTCATGCTAGATGTGATTGACCGGCACCTCAATCAGGCACGTAGCTTAGCTTAACAATATTACAAGCACTTACATTTTTTTAGAATTTTGTGCCTGCACTCACTGGTAAAAAATGCTCAACAGTTGACTCGTCACCTATTCAAACAGCGGGTGACTCACCACATCCTGACACTGGCCCTGATACATCCCTGGGCTACTCGTTTGACTCAGAGTCAGAGGAACTGAGCACGACATCCATCACTCCGGACAACAAACCACGTACCAAAGAATCATGCCAATCTGCAATTCACGATGCTATCAAAGACCAAAAGGCTGGACATGCACATGGCCTAATGAGGTCCTTAAAGCCTTGTACACATGAATAACTTTGCGCTCAACTCACCAAGGTTGAAGCCAAGCTGGACGAGGAATGGCAACAGGCTCAGGAATACCAGGAGATAGCAGACCAAAGGCGGAAAATAGTGGTTAGGGAGGAGAATAAGAAAAGACAGCAGAAACATCGCCAGCAACAGCGCGATGATGAAATCGCAAGGGGCAAACGGAGTCCTGGAGGAACCAAACAGAATCTCAAGGTGTGCAGCTATCTGGTTTGGTACTTGAGCATTTGACCAATGAGACATCAGCGATGTGTACTAGATATGACCACCATGAAAGACGGTACAGCAAAGCAAGCACGAACCTCTATTGCAGAGTTGTCAAGACCCAATCGAGCTACAAGAGAACATCAGTGTCAGCATCGGAACACAAAGCATAAACCTGGGCAAAAACATGTACATGAAAAGCAGGATGCAGTCTACCATAACTGGCATGGCCTATTTACATGGGCTCAAACTGACAATGCCACTAAACATCCATCAGTTATGTGGAGCTCGTCATGTCTTGTTTGATACTTACAGCAAAAAGACCCCATAATTTTCAAAGGCCTTGCATGATCAACAGTTGAGGGCTGGATTGACTGTGTGGAAAAACCAAGATAGACAGATGCTGCGATCCGCATGGCAGAGCTAGGTAATCATCAGGGCCACTCAAAAGGAGGTACAAAGGGAATTTTGGTATGTTGACTTACTAAGTATCTCATCATCGACCCACCCTAATGTGATTTGGACAAATTACCCAGCTGTTGAGCAAGTCATTGTCAAGCGTCTAGAAGGACTTTGAGAAGGTGGAGCAGTCCTTACCCTCGTGACAGTTTGAGCAATCATGATTGCTGTCATCTTGGATTTGGCACCACAGATCTTTCATCAGCGAGCTCAAGACGAATCCCGATTTTAGTGCTCCGACACATTTGTTCGACGCTGGCTACATCATACCTTGGATTGGTCAGAGAGACATGCAACTCACGCTGCACAAAAGATACCTGAAAATTGGGAGGAACTATGCGAGCACTTGTTCTTTCGATTAGCGTACACCATCAGAAAGGAAGATATCCCCTCCACACTCTACATTAATTCTGACCAAACCCAGGTTGTGTATGCACAGGGCTGCCAACTCACATGGGCGAAAACTGGAGCAAAGCAAATTTCAACTGTTGGCAATGACAAGAAACGAGCATTTACCATCATGGTTTCCATTTCGAACGATGGCACAATGCTGCCCCTGCAAGCCATCTATCAGGGTTACTCAAAAGGGTCCTGCCCAAGCCAGTCCGCACCAAACTATGAAAACTGTATCAGTGCCGGATTTCAATTTGAATATTTGAACACAAAAACTTACTGGTCCACACACATGACCATGCACTCCCTCATTGACAACATCATTGCTCCTTACTTCGAGCAGAAGAAGCAAGAGCTAGGTCTACCGCAGATGCAGAAGACAATCTGGCAAATTGATGTCTGGTCCATGCACAGGTCAGAAGAGTTTTGGTCATGGATGAAGATACACCACCCAACTATTGGGTTGCACTATGTACCTGGAGGTTGCACTGGCTTGTTTCAGCCATGTGACATTGGGATCCAGCAAGTCTTCAAACACTCCTTGAAGTGCTCGTATAATAGTGATGTAGTCTTGGAAATGTTGAATCAGCTTGCGCGTGAGGAGACACACCTTTTTGTTGACAAGCAGATCGGAGTTCTTCGTAATCGCAGCATGACATGGCTGTGGGATGCATTCAACATTGTAAACACACTGGACATTGTGAAAAAGGTAAGTAAAAAAAACTCACCATTACATCGAGGCACTAAAATTTTGTTTTAGTCGTTTGAGATGTGTTGTGTGCGTGGCTTTAACCTCTTGTACCAAAGTCTCACCAGTTATACTGCACAAGAGAAGTTGAGGAATTTGAAAAATGATGAACCAGAGTTTTGGGACAAACTCACCAGGCAAACAGGAGAGAAGGCGAAAGATGGTGATAGCATAGAGGTCCTTGGCGATGAGGCAGAGCTCGATGGTCTCCCTGAGGGTGATGATACTGATGTGCCGTGTTCATCTGTTATTGCAGACATGTTGAGTGGCAACATTCATACAGGATCTGAGAGACCAGTTGGAGTGCTTACCTCCAAAGGAGAAGTCGAGACCATGGACTTTGTAGTGGATGTGGTACCTGAGGTGGAGGGTAATGATTGTGAGAACCTGGAAGATGCAATGGAATTAGGGCGGGGGAGAAGGAAGAAAAAAGTGAATTCTTTGTACTCACACTTATTCTGGCGCCATCATGATGACGAGAGCTAGATTTTATTAGTAGCCAAAACATTTTGTGCATCGCACACTTACACCATGAATCCGGAGTCGTGTACCACACGCAAATCTGTGGTCACCACGGAAGCAAAATTTAATGTTTGTTGTGACGTCAAATGGTTTCGACACACACTGATGTTATGTGTGACAACTACCTAATTTTGACACCGACACCACCGACTGTGATGTGTGACCGTCGAATTGAATTGATTGCTACAGTAATTTTGCTACTGCTAGATATGATCAATTACAGTGAAAATTTCGAGTTGTAAGTACATAGTCACCAACACCCTTGTCATAAAGGTACCGAAAGCCTTTCAAGGTTGTACTAGTAGGTAGTAACCTGCCTAATCACTGCAGGGAAGCCTCCCTTTAAATCCTGTTCAGGACCATGGTGTGTTTCATAGAACCTCCAGTGAGAAGTTCATTTCATCGGTGATCCAGGTACATATCTTGAACTCATTGTTGAGTTTTTGTTGCTTCTCAAGGTATGTTTGTCGGCTCCTCCTCGCAACTCGTGTTCACATAGCGCGTTCACTAGAAGATAATGCTGGAGGTTCTATAAAACACACTGCGGTCTTGAATAGGATCTAAGGGGAGGTCTCCCTGTGGAGGCAAGCTTTTAGGCAGGTTACTACTACCCACAACAAAACCTACCCTTCAGAAAGTCCTTCAGTCATCAGGAAAAACACTGTATTGCCATAGTCCTGGTGGCAGCTATATAGCACTATGTAGGCACTCATAGGTGCTGTAGCAATATATAGGCACGTGCAATACTATTTCGAGCTATGTAGTACTATGTAGTGCAAAGCTTCACTACAGGCAGCTATGAAACTCAGTCAGGCAAAAAAGTGACTGCAGATGGCTACAGGTTGCATCCAGCTTCACTACACGCAGCTATGGAACTCAGTCAGGCAAACAAGTGACTGCAGATGGCTACAGGTTGCACCCGACACATGACACTATATACTTACTACAAACTATTTATGACAGACATGCCAAACATCTCACCGTCAATGAATTGATTAAAATAAAAATCATTTGCCGCCTCATATGCATTTCCACTTCTCAATGTCGTATCTACTGATTGTCCCATCTTTGGTATTAGGTGACATGGTCATACAATTTCATCGACATGGATGACAGCAGCATTGTGGCAGAGTTGGTGTGTCAAGCGAGAGACTTGTTGCAATCAAGAGGAAAGGTCTGGATGTCTGAAAGGTGTAAACCACTCGATGTAAGCGAGGGCTCTGGGGTATATGCCGAACTGACGAGGGAGGGTGAATATAGCATGAACCTGAGCTACTTGCACACCTGCAACACATCACAGTCAAATATAAGTGTCAACAAGTCCAAAAAAAAAATACCTTCAAGAGTGTGCAAGGGCAAAGACCGAGGCCCATCTGAGATCAATGCCATGTCGAAATGAGCAGGGCAACCAGGCTTATGGCCAGATGCTACCACTTCTGGCCTTGCTCTAATGTGCCACCAGTTGGGAGTGTCACTTACTTGTTGATCTGGTTGTGCCTCGATGACCACTTGATGATGAATATCAAAACAGTCATGAATGCCAGGTACAATGGCGATATGTGGAAGGTTCTTGTGCAGAAAAGTTTGCAGAGCGGAGAGAAAATTGATAGCACCATGCGCTGTCACAATATTTCCAACTGTCTGGTGAGGATGTGCTGGAACCTTTGCGAGGGTGTGCCCTGTTGTCGTTGTGTTCAAGTTGGGAGATGCAGCCTCTTTTTCTTCCAAGTCTGAGTCTGAGTCGAAGGAATGATGCTCTGTGTGACCTGCTGGCAGGGGAGACTGTTGTGATATCCAATTCAAGTATGCACCATGCAAAAACACTGCTTCCTGATGTTGAAGCCACAAAACCATCTGTTCTTCATAGTCCCGTTTGTTGCTAGCGCGGTAAGCGTCTTTTGCAAAATCAATGTGCAAGCACTCAGGAAGCTCGGTGTTAAGGCCATCAGCTGCACCAAACAACATGATCGACTGGACATAATGAGTGAGTTGATGTAGTTTTGGTATATTGAAATGTTCTCGAATGGCGAGTTCCTTCAGGACATCTTTATTTGCATGAAAGACTCCCAAAGCAGTTTGTAGGGCTTTGTGCATTTCAGTTGTGTGAATTTGGAGCTGGGCATAATAGGAAAAGTCAAGAATTGATTGCGCAACTACCAAGACACGACTGTGCAGCATGACATCAACAAACAACCATCTTCAATGACTCATCACACACACACCTAGGCACCGCTCCGGTAAGTAAGCCAACAAAAACTCGCTGCATCTCTTTATGCTCACTTCCTGTTCATTGTTTCACAGTCGAAATACCTTTCTTGAAGTGATGGAGTCCTGGATAATCTGGGATGGCCTTGAATCGCACATCCATCTCATCTTCCCCAATAATATTGATGCACCACTTCATGAGGTGGTCTTTAAACATGCCTTTATGGGTTTGATGCAAAAGATCGGGGGTGAAAGCCAGGAAAATGTTGGCATGAGGCATTTCGGCCCGGAACAGTTTATAAACTGCACGTAGACCATTCTCCTTGAATTCTGGAGGATGCTGACCAATATTGCACCTTTCTAGAATATCTTTTGTTGACTCTGGATCATGCATTGCAGACTCGAATCCATCACCTCGCTCATTCGCTGCCACCAGACACTTGGGACACCAATTCTCTTTACAACAGGAAACCAAACACTGCTCAGGAAAATCAGCAACATATGCAGCCAGTATCGGGTAGACATGACGAACCAGTGAGTCCGCACACACCATTTCGACTCTGTTTTGTCCAGCAGTAATGAGAGTATGGAGGAGTAGGGCCATGCAATGATGAAAGAGTCTGTATCCAGCCAGAGAGCATGCATCAGAAGTGAAGCAGTCTAGCTTTCCTGTGGGTAAGTAACCAATAAGCACTGTGGCTCATGCTGATGCCTGATGCCTTTTTGCTTTGGTGATATTGCCAATGGACATATACACAGGCCATGCTGACTTGTCTCCTTTGAACTGCGATAAGCTGGTTTTGTCCGACGATAGAATAATTGGTGCTATCATGGCACCTTTGGGCAGGGCTTTCTGCTCACAAGGTCAGTACATTTTTTTGTTGTTCTCTCTCAAACAGTCTTACTTGAGTCTCGCCCACCAGTCGGCCATCCACATCTTGTCAATCACTCTATGTTGCCCTGTGTGGTCTGCATATGCTCTGGCAGGTGAGTAGGCCATATCTTCCTTGAAGAAAGGGTTGCCAATAAGCTCTTTGACACACTCTACAGGATCACAGCTCCAAAGTTTGAGCTCTTCTTGCAACGGTGCTCCATTCTCATCTTCAAGGTTACCACGCACAGTAATCTTCCTGCAACTCCATCCCGGTCCATGTGGAAGTTCATCAATCTTCTGCAAGAATGAGCGGTTGTTATGAAATGAGAGTTTTGTACAGTTTTGTGTCTAGTCATTGTATCAACATTGTGAGCTCAGTTGATGCTTTCAACGTACTATCAGTAACTTCAAAAACTCCTCAGTCCAAATTATCTGCTTCAACGTCTTCAATCATTAATGCCCATTGCCTTTGACATTCAGGATGTCCTATGACATGTCTCTTGAGACCTTCGCATGTTGTTGTTACCTTGCCGCAGAATACACAGTAAGGTATGGTTTGTAGAGGCATGGTTCATCCGTCCAGTGCTCTGTCATTACCGCAACTACTTACTAGTACCGTTGATGCCACAACACACAACACTACATGACCCCACACACCAACACAACCCACTGAGGCAACATTTCATTTTTCACTGCCCTCACCCTGAGCTCTCGCCATCAATGGTAAAATTTTCTTCTAAGATCCCACAAGATTGCCTGCCACCTTCAATGGTCAAACTGCCCTCCACCGTCAATGGTAAAAATTTCTTCTAAGAACCCACAAGATTGCCTGCCACCTACATGTGCACCATCATTCTTGTCTGAATTACAACTGACTAAACTGACTAAAATAGGGCAGGGTGCTTATTGTCAGCCCTGGCAACACCGCCCACTAGGGCAGGGTGCTTATCATCAGCCCTGGCAACACTGCTGTTGATGGTAAAATTTTCTTCTAGAAACCCACATGATTGCCTACCACCTTCAATGGTCAAACCACCATCAATGTAAAATTTTCTTCTAGGGATGATTGCCTACCGCCTTTGATGGTCAAACCACAGTCAATGGTAAAATTTTCTTCTAGGAACCCACAAGATTGCCTGACACTTGATGGTTAAATTTTCTTCTAAGAACCCACAAGATTGCCTGGCGCCTACATGTGCACCATCATTCTTGCCTGAATTACTACTGACAAAACTGACTAAACTAGAGTAGTGATGCCATGGGCTGCAAGTAGTAGCTCCAACAATTGGACTTTGCATGCCTCCTCACAATGCTTCTTCTCTGTGTTCCAACGCACAACTATCATCTCCCGCACAAAGGTTTGGTGAGTATTAGGACCCTGGATGTGCTCTAAGAGTTGCGCTTTGCATGCCTCTTCACAGCACCTTATCTCAGCATCCCAGCATTCTAATATAAGTGTTCAAAGGTAAGTTTGAGATGCTTGGATGGGTCCAGGTGTTTGACGAAATGGTGGCAATGGATACAGGACCTCAGGACCCCCATTGGCCTGCCCTGGAGCACGAACCACATGAAAGGGATGACTCAGAGGAGCAACAGCCCTGCTAAGGTATCAGCATCTGTTATTGCCTATAGTCGAGTATCCTACCTTTGTACAACTTTGGTATCCATCTCTGGGTTGAAAGGAAAGTCGATCTGTCCCTCTTATGCTGTTATATTGACGCCGCTCAGTTAGATGAAACTTTAACATTCAAGTCAACCAAACTCAAAAATTGTTTGTTGATTGCACACCGCAGCAGGGTTTTAAAGGCACGTCTGTCCATTATTTTGTTGTTACTTACCTATAATCATGGCAGTGAAAGCAAACTCGAAGAATCCGGCCAAAAAGTCAATTTTGAAGGCGCAGGAGGACCTATGCGCCAAGATGGAGTCAACTGCAGGACGCACTGCAAGCGGTCGGAAATGCCGACCAACTGAATGAGAGACTTACAGACATAAATAGGACTCAGCCTGATGTTCCTGCTCAATGTGTCTGATGCACTTCTTCTCAACAGTCTCAAAATCTCATCAAGGTGAAGACCGCCACAAAGACTTACAGGCAAAGATGGAGAAACATAAATTGAAGGCTTTGCGTGCTGCATACCAAAAAAATCCCAAAGAGTTCAATGCTGAGCCCACTGAGCTGCACAGCGACATTGACAGGGATGAAGAAAACATGGTCAGTGTCATGTCTCATTCTCCTGGGTGCCGCATTGCTCACAACATGGTAGTTCTTAGATCACTTTGTACGCACTAAGGTATCTATGCCGCGTGCACTCACATTCAGTGCAAGCAAACCTCCTCCAGTTGTCTTGGCTCCAAAGTCTTTCTCACCTACCAGTAAGCCACACAAAGGTACTGTAGCTTAAGTTATGTACATCTCCGACACTAACATACATTTGTCAGCTTCTGTGACTGTCACGAGACCCACAATGCTCAGTGGTGACAGCAGCAGTGATGACAGCAGCTGCGATGACACTGAGAGTGAGGATCACAGTGACAGCGACTCCTCACCACTGGTTGTCTTCAACTCACTCCTTCACTGGTCAAGATGGTAAGTAGTCACTTTGTAATATCCTATCCTGATTGATGTTATATGTTGTGCAGATGATGAGGCGCACTTCACGTGTGTGTGGGGAACTCAAAACCAAAATGCAGGCACTCATGACATCATTCTTTGGCTTCCGCACAAGTCGATCAACAGTGGCCATTAAACAAAATTGTGACCTGGCAGAATCACTGAAGGATGGATCATGCTTTGTTTTTAAGGTGTGTTACTCATTTCAACTTGGTCCACCGTTGGTGAATGTCTGACTGGCAGAGTAACAGGACTGGGAGATGAAATGTGGCATTTACAAAATGGAATTGATACAGTCAGCAGTGAATGACATGTGGTTTATGAACTGCAGTGACGAGGGTTTTATTTACGGTAAATATTTTGAGCCTTTACCAGTTGAAATTATTGTGCTTATACTCACGGCTGTGAGTGTGTTCAAACAATCCAGTATTGATGTCGCAACTGACTTGTGAAATCTGACAGATCGAATGTTGCATCGATGAGTGGATAACCAGAGTCAAGGAAGACATTAAATTCTCGGCAGCTACATATTCTCCTATCTACCAGGTTCACCTCAGCTCCTTGCAGTGCTTTGACGAGCATACTTCTGCTTACAAACTACTTGGTAAAATCACTGACACTATCCTTGATGTTGCTTGGTATGTTCCTGACCACTATTGTTCATTATCATGACTGATGTTGTTGGGAAGACTCCATGCTGGTGTGAATACACTCCAGGCAGCTTAGGCTACTCCTGCTGGCTTCACCAATAATATATTCGATGATGTGATTTGAGAGTATGAGGAGGAGACTACAAAAGCATGAAAGGGGAGGCACGAGATCATGGAAGTGTAGAAGCAGGTGATAATTGAGGCTGCTGTGTCAATATCTTGGGTACTATACACATTTTTGTGTGCTATGCGCTAAATTATATTCAGTTTTGTTGATTTCGGTCAGTGGCATAGATCAGTTCCTGTAGCTCAAAAAAGCAAAACAAAGGTCCTATGAGCATTAGTTATTGCAGCCTGTAGATAGCTACAGCGAGCTACGGTCAAAAGCGAAATGACTACAAGGTCCTACTAGTGTTGGTTATTGCAGCCTGTAGCTTGCTATGACAAGCTACGGTCAAAAGCAAAATGACTACAAGGTCTTACTAGTGTCAGTTATTGCAACCTGTAGCTTGCTATAGGGCTGTTCACCATACCGTATATGGTGTGCCGCCATATGAAGCTAAAACATAACTGTCTATTACAGGATGAAAAAAAAATATGCTGACAGTACAGTACGGTGTGCTTTATGGCCATATGCAGTACATTAAACGAGGTCTTGGACTGCAGCACGAGCCAAATAAAGCTTTGCCTTCACCAACATTAGTGTCCTGATTGTCTCGGGCTTGAGGCTTGCATGCTGCATAGAGACTGTGTCCCAACCCCCAGAAAAAAATTATTCAACGGCAACAGCAGACCCTGCAAATAGTGCGAAGACAATAATTCAATACTACAAATGTTTTAGATAGGCTATACACTCACCAGGGATTGCAAGAACATCACGCACGAGATGAGAAAGGTTGGGAAATTGTGCACGATGACCTGCCCACCACTGAATGGGGTCACAAGTATTGAAATCCTCCTGCAGGAGCTTCAAGTAGTGCTCGAATTCATCTATCATCACATTTGATCGCTTCTTGTACCTTGCTGTGAAGTTGACCTTCGTCGGAGACTGGTGCCCAGTGTTCTCTGGGCCAGCTTCAGTGGGAGATGACAAAGGGATTGATTGCGCCACCCTTATAGCATACTCCTTCTCATAAAGAGCATGCAGATTGCTCTTCTGCATCTCGATATGCATTTGTGCAGTGATATCATCTCCGCAGTCACTGTGGAGCCCATTGTACGAGATGCGGGGGTCAAGAACTTTAATGAAATAGTTGATTAGCTAGCCAAACAAACTCACAATAAAAGGTAACATACTTGAAGCCCAGACATAGAAAGGCAACTCGTCAATCTTGAAGTAATAATCACTGAGCTTACAATGAGCACTTGTTAGCGCAGACCGCAGCTTCACTGGAGCTGAATCTGGAAGTTCTGCCAAGTCATCTTGAATCGACCCCTGGAGTCCACAGAATATTGTGTGTGCGGTAGATAGCATGGGACACTTTGTCATGGACATTTGTGTGGTAGCAGAGCGAAAGGCCTTCAACCATTTTGTGACCAGCTCAATCCCTACCCAATCGGCATCAGAGAGTTTGTATGGCCTGAGGTCACGAGTCTTCGCAGCAAAGTCATCAATAGCTTGATGAAAATCAAGTGCCTGACGTAGCATTTGATGCATGGACGACCAACGAGTCTTGACGTCCAAGATAAGCATGAGGGCAACTTCTCACGGAAATTGATTAAAAGTTCTTCAAGTTTCCAGTCGTTCATGATATAATGCATGACAATGGCCAGGAAAGTGAATTGATTACTTGAAGTCCATGTGTCGAGAGAGAGGCTGACTTTAGACTCAAGATTTTGTCATATAGACAATTAGTCGTTGTTTGTTGGCTTGACTCAACTCAACTTACCTCAATCATGTCCTTAACACCTTGAATAGTATCTTCTCCCATCTTCATAACACAGTGCTTGATGGCAAGTCTTCCAGGGATGTGAAGTGGGGAGCCTCCATGTGCATAGTCAAGGAGTGCTTTGAACTCTGGTCATTCTACCTCCTCAAATGGCTGGTCACACGCTACAAGCCACTGTGCGAGCAGCTCTTCAAACCTTGCTTGGTTCCAGTCACCAAAAGCTTTGATGACCTGCTTGTTGAATGCATCGATAATGTTTACTGATGCTTGCTCGAGCTGGACCAGATATTGCACAGCTGCGGCAGGATCGAGAACCTTCTCTCCCTGTGCTATCCAGAGTTCATCATCAGTAGGTGGGGTCCCACAGGACTTCAAAAGCAGATATAGTCGATACATTGGTGGAAAATGAGTCTTCAGATTACCGATCAAACCTGAAACTAGTGAGAAACAAGACATGCTGTCAAAATGTAACATACCATTCAAACTGCTTTTCATCGCACGCGTGATGGTAAGGACCTTGCGGTTGCCCAACTAGCATTTGTAGTGTTTGTCGCCAACGTCGCCTGCTTGTCCATTGGAATTCATCTCCACAAGCTCATAGAAATAATAGATTGGATTGTGCTTGCTGGCCTGCTAATGATTTGGAGTGACCCGAGTTAGAATAGCTATAGACAACAGGAAAGAACTCACCTTCGATAGTTGGGGAAGAGCTGAGCTTGTTGATGGCTGTAAGCTACCACTGTCCTCATCATCTACTTCCTCCACGCGAGCATGCTTGGACGCCTGGGAGTTGCTGGTGGCAGGCAAAGGTCGGTTGGCCTTGCGCTTCGTTTTCTGTCGGAGTTGGTGTGTGTCGTTTCCCCCTCGTTGTGGTACAGTTTTCATAGGCAGCATTGCAGCAAGCTACATAATTAGTAAGACTAGTGAAGAGAAACACGAGAAATAACTTACCTCCGCATTTGTTATCTCCTGAACATCACTGTTAGAGCCTAATGACTCTGACTCCGAGCTAGAGTCAGAGTCATCCCCTGTGAAATCACCGTCATCGGCATCTGAAGGGTCAACTAGGGAACTGTGCAGGTACGGGTAACCCACACGGGTCACAGGTACGTGTACCGCTGGGGTACAGGTATGGGTCTGAGGTCATGATACGCCTACCCCTACCTGTACCTGCACTGCGGGTATCAGTCACAATGGGCGCCGAACAGATGCCAAACAGGTGCTAGTAAAATTCAACTATGTAAATATGAAACTATACAGCTGCCAACTGTCTAAAGACAAATATAAAATCATACCACACCACCCATGAACCTTTGTCACCCACTAGTGCTGCCCATTATGCAGCTCAGCTTTGCAGCCACAGCGAAATGTGCCATCAAAATGACCAGAAAGGCGAGAGCCGCTCTAGAAGAAAAGAGTTTAAAAATGTCATCAAAGAAGTGGAAAAATGATGGTGGTGGAGATAGCGTGAACACACACCTTAAGAAGGCAAAAAATAACCTGCAGGCTGGTAATACTCCCACCGGCAGTGTAGGGTCTGCAGACAAAGATGAGCTGGTCGAAAAAAATAGCTCTGCCACAGCTTCACAGACAGTGTCCATGTCTCCATGTCCAGACTCAGTCTCAAGTTGGTGTTCCCTGGTGTGCACTGAGGAGGAAGAGAATGCAATAAATGAAGACAAAACTGAGACCGGTAGCACTGTATTACAGGCTGAGGTGGAAGCCGATGAGACTGCGGAAGATGAGCTTGGTATGTGCAGAAGCCTTGATGTGAACATTACATTAATTGAGTACCAAACAGCATGCTTAATGAAGAACTGGAACTCACCAGTCTACGCATTCTTCAATCCGACACCACAGATTACCGAACTTGATGGACGCTGTGCCCATAACTTCAAGTGCCAAGCCAGGAATTGCAAGACCAAAGTGCGATGATACCTTGACAAAGGTGATGCACACTCCACTGGTAACATGCAGAAGCATGTGTGTTCGTGCTGGGGCGATGAAGTGTTGAAAGCTGCGGATGAGGCCAAGGATGCCAACAAGGTGCACGAAAATATAGTTGGTAGTTTCCTGCGAAATGGATCAATCACTGCGTCATTCAAGCATAAGGGTAAAGGGAAAGTTACATACTTGCACTGTCAACATACATGTGCAGAAACACAGTATGAACAAAGTCTTATCTGAGTCTTGGACTGAAACATCTGCCTTCAGGGCCGAAATAGTGAGCTGGGTGTCTGAGAGCCTGCGTCCATTCGATATTGTCAAGGACCATGCATTTCAGTCACTGATGAAGACAGGGAGACCGGAATATTACATACCTTCTGCCTCCACTGTTTCGCGTGACATGCGACAAGTATTTGTGTGAACTCAACAGTGTGTTGCTACAATGTTACAGGTAAGTATTTATCATTAATAATAAAAACGAATATTCAAAACACACCAGGAATATGACAGTAAAATAAACTTTACTACTGATGGTTGGTCATCACCCAACCATTATGCGTTGGTCACATTTTCAGTGCACTTCGAGCACGAGGGGGAACCACTAAGCATCCCATAGACATTGTTGAAGTGGGGAAGGTAAAAAAAACTCACCTATATAGATATATACGAGCTGAGAGCTTCATAGTCGCATACTGGCGAGGAGCTCACAGAGGTGTTTGCAAAAGTGCTAGAAGAATTTGGTATATCAGAAAAGGTATTGATCCAAAAAAAAAATTGAACAAACTTACATGCAACTAAAACCACATTGCACAGATCCTGAGCATCACTTGCAATAATGTGTCCAACAATGATGCCATGATTCATGAACTGAGCGGTAAGGTACTGGAATTTGGCGGACCAACCACTCACACTAGGTGTTTCCCACACACTGTGAACCTGGTGGCCAAATCGTTGATCCGGGAATTCGATGTGAAGAAAGGAGAGGCCGACCAAGCATTGGCACATAGTACTGACAGTACTGACATAGAGCTGGAAGAACTCAGTGCAGATATGGAAGAGGACACAGGGACAATGTACGAGGTAGATAATGATGACGGCTTTGTTGACGAGGTCGAGTTGTTGGACAAGAAAGAGCGGGCCGCACTAAACAAAGAGATAAGACCAGTCAAATTAGCACTTGTCAAAGTAAGTGCGTGCAACAAAAGAGAACTCACTATTGAACACAATTGCTCCAGGTGCGCAAGCTTGCATACAAGACCATACATTTGACAACTATCATCCTTCTTGCATGGCATGCCATCCTCAAGGACTTGTCAAAACCCCAAACCCTCATGCCACATGATGTGGCCACATGGTGGAATTCGACGTTTGATATGTTCGATTACACACTTGAACATTGTGAGGCCGTAGATACCGTTACACAATGGCGAGACCTCGGTTTACGGAAGTATGAGTTGGAGGATAATGAGTGGGAAATACTACAGCAATTGTGTGATATACTAAAGGTTTGCACTCTTTGTTTGACGCTTTGGCACATATGCTTATGTTATATTGTTTGCTCTTGTTAGATTCTAAAGGACGCCACACTTTACTTCTCGTGTGCAACACCTAACCTTGCGACGGTGATACCAGCAATGGATCACGTCAACAAGATGCTCACATCATATTCATGCAACAAGAAATATCTGCCTTCAATTCGTTCGGCAGTTTGGCTCGCAAAAAAGACACTCAACCGATATTATCAGCTCACAGACAGGTCTCACACATATCAGATCTCCATGGGTAAGTTCTATTCAATCTAGGTTTTTTCTAGTTTCTACTGACAGTTAATATTAAGTGTTACATCCCCAACATAAGCTATTATATTTCAAGGCAGCAGACTGGGAAGACAACTGGATCCAAACTGCAGAGCAACTTGTGCATGAGGAATTTGAATGTTCATACCTGTCCCTTGATGCTGACTCTGATTTGGGGCATGAGGCGGATGTCTTGGAGTCAAATGGTAATATATTGATGGTATTTTGCTTTTTTGCTTTTTACTTAGTGTTTGTACTGACTCAATCTTAGAGCGACAACATTTTTGACAACCTCCCCACACTTGCAGTCCCCAAACCTACTAACTCGGGCTCCAAACTTGACTGTTACCTTAGTATGGACGTGGAACATGTCACCAACCCTATCACTTGGTGGCAAGAATGTCGCAAATCATTCCCCAACCTGTCACGCATGGCCATTGATTATCTAACTATCCCTGGTATGTGGCATTATTATGTTTAATGCCTTGTAAGCTTGCATTGCCTATAGCTACTTCTGTATAGGGATCTGCATGGGTGAACCCACGGGTGTCAGCAGGTCAACCCGCACCTGCACCCCGAGAAAAACCCACACCTGCAGCAAGGGTACAGGTTGCACAGTGGGTAGTGAAAGAAGGACCCAGGGTACAACCCATCAAGGGTGTACCCGCGGGTAACAAATACTATGGGGAAAAACTACGACATGGTGTAGTAAACTACTCAACAATAATTTGATCCCACCCGTCATCGAGCTCCTGTTCATCACCTTCGACATCAGGCAAAGAACTGACACCGACAATGTCATCAGTCTTGACCAGGTTGAGTTTGCTCCAAAAACTGAGGCACAGCAGTGCGTGCATTGATTGTGCAGATAAGCATGAGCGCACGTGTGAGAGTAAGAGCCGTCCTCGGCTGAATAGTCATTCAACGTCGACTGATGTGGCTGTTGATATTATTAGCTGTAGTATATGCAAGTTCAATTATAAAAAACTCACCAGGAATAGTAAGGTAGTACAGCGCCATCCGCGATAGATGAGGGTAGGTGGTACGACGTTCATGCCACCATGCGAGTGCATCAGGCACATTTTCGATGTCGGAGGTGAGATAGTGCTCGAGCTCATCACGGAGATCAGTTGATTTTGGCAGAGCGAGGGCAGGCATGTCATCAAACATGTTATTCATCTAGAATAGAATCAGTAGTCAGTAGTTACAGTTAGAAAAAAAGACGTACCTTATGCAACGTCTCGGTAGGTAAAGTCTCCATGTCCAAGTCATTGTCTTGAAGGTCGGCATCTAAGGCTGAATAAAGAGTAAATTGGTCACGGACAAGCTTTTCAGCTGTCGTGATCCAATCGTCCTCCCATCGAGCATTCCTGAAATATACGAGCTTGTGATGCAGGTGTAGTACTATAATATGTGTGAATGTGAGCCATCAGAACAGAGACAAAAAAGAACGAACCCATGGCAATGCGATAGACTTCAGATTGATCTGTAAGTTGATAGTACCAGTTAAGTGTTACCTTTGCCAGCTGAACAGCTGAGTGGATTGAAGGATGATACTGTCTGTTGCAAGAGTATGTAGTGAGCTTTTCATCAATGAGATCCATGGCTGGAATCACGGTGGCTAGATTAGGTGTCGAGCGGGAGAAAAATAGTGTTGCATCCTTTAGAATCTACATAGACACATAGACCAAACAATTGTTAGTCCATGTGTTGTGCGGATCTTTCTGGTGCTTACCTTGAGAACACTCCTCAGTTGTTTGGCAATTGCCCACTCCTCATCATTCAGCTCAAACTTCCGCAGACCGAGATCTCGACGTTGAGTCACGGTATCAATGGCCTCCCAATGCTCAATCGCATATTCCAACATATCGAATGTGGAGTTCCAGCGGGTCGAAACATCACGTGGCATGAGAGTAACAGGTGCCTGCAAGTCTTCAAGAATCTTACGCCATGCTGGGAGGACTATAGTCGTCGAATGTATAACTTTGTAGGCCAGTTTACGGAGCTAGAAGAGAGATTAGATTTGAAGGTGTGTGTTGGTGTCTTTTTGTTCTTACCTTCACAAGGGCTAACTTCACAGGAAGAATACTCTTTTCCAGCACGAGTCATTCATCAGGATTGAGCTCTCCGACTTCGTCAACCCAACCGTCATTGTTATCCCTACCATTGTTATCCCCAACACCATATTCAGCTATCATCACTGCTTCCTCTGCATCAATCCCCTCGCTCAATACCTCCAGCTGCTCTGCTCTATCACCACTATTCTCAGGCTCGTCCAAGGCTTTGTCGGCCTCTTTCTTCGTTACATCAAACTCGTGAATGAGCGATTTTGCTACGAGGTTTACTGTATGGAGAAAACACCGTGTATGGCTTGTGGCCCCCCCAAACGCTGGTACCTCAGCTGCAAGGTTCTCAACCATGACATTATTATTGGAAGTGTTATCGCATGTTACACTCAAAATCTGGGCCGCACAATATCAATTTGTAAGTTGTCTCGTCTCTTTTAAAATTTACCTTGTCTGAAATGCCAAATTCCTCAAGCATCTTTGCAAACACACTCGCCAGCTCTTCACCTGTGTGGGACTAACATAGCATTAGCTGCTGTGGCTCTAACAAGGTAAGTTTCTCACCTTAGCTACTTCAATTATATCTAATGGTAGGCTTAGTGGTATGCCCTTGTGCTCGAGGTGCACCGAGAACGCCATGAATGCTCGATGGTTTGGTGAACTCCAAGCATCTGTTGTAAAATTTATCTTGCCATCATATTCCTGGTGAGGTTTTTCATTTGAATATTTCAAAGTGCATGATTTGAACTAACTTGTAACATTTTAGCAACTCGTTGATGAGTCCGAGCGAACACAAGTCGAACATCATGCGAAATTGTGGATGGCAAAGGTATGTAATACTCTGGCCTTCCGGTCTTCATCAATGATTGAAATCCCCAATCCTTGACTATCTCGAATGGACGCAGGCTCTCCGAAACCCAACACACCATCTCTGCCCTGGAAGAAGACAATTTAGGCTTAGGTGCCATCAGCAACAACATCAAGACCTCACCTTGTTTCTCCACGTGTGTGCTGACGGTGCGAGTAAGTCAATTTCCCCTTTCCTTTCCATTCGAAAGATGCTGCGATTGACCCATTTTTTAGGATACTTCCAACAATTTTTGCTCACACTTCATCTGCATCTTTGGCATCGTCTGCAGCATTGAGTGCATCTTCCCCCCAGCAAGATTTTACATGTTTGCGCATGTTCCCCATCAATCGCGCATCCTTTTTGTCCAGGAATCGTCAGATCATCACCTTGCATCCTTTCGCACGGCACTTGAATTCATGTGCATGTCAACCACCAACTTCAGTGATGCGGGGAGTTGGGTCAAAGAATGCATAAACAGGTGATACCCATTCTTTTTTGAGCCTCGCTGTTGCTAATTAGTGGTGCTATGTTTGTATAGCAGGAACATACTTCGCTCGTCCTCGGCACTTTCTGGACCTGAAGCCTCGCTACCAGCCTCGTCTCCACTTTTCTCGCTCATGTCATCAATGACAATGGCATTGTTATACAATGCTTCTTCCTCTTCCTCGGTGCGAACAATGACACGGCGAATCTTATGAGGCTCTGCTGCCATTCTCACATCAGATGGAGGTGGAGAGGCCTCGGCTACCGGTCTATCTTTGGATATATCTGTGGGAGGATTTTGTTTTGCCTTCTTCGACTTGTTGGAGACCGCACTTGTGCCATTTGCATCAATCATGCGCTTCTTTGACGGTCCGGAAGCTTCAAGTCTCTCTTCAAGTGCCGCTTTAGCCTTGTCCATGAGTTTTGTGACTTGTTTTGCAGCTGCAGTAAATATGTTTGGTTGCATGGCTGGATGTAAGGTAGCAGTCTAGGACAGGTATGCTTAGGATGACAGGACCAAAAGATTTTTTTAACAGTTGTGGCTTCTTTAAAGTTTGGTTTGGTTTGACGTAGGTACTATATCTTGATTAGGTAGCAATATATTGTGTTTCGATGGTCTAACCCGTGTGCAGGTACAGGTATAGGTATGGGTGCCGTAAAAGGCAACCCCCACCCATACCCCAGGTGTACCCCTATCCGTGACCCGTACGGGTTACCCATACCCACGCAGTTGCCTACTTCTGTAGACATTGAACATCTCTTCAGTCATGGGCATCTTGTCCTGTCACATGTCAGAAATCGTTTATTGGCGCAGTAAACATGTGCGCTGCTTTGTGTCGGCTTATGGAACGAGTTAGGCCTGGTCAAATCTGAGGATATCATTCATGCATCTAAGCTCCCAGATGTTGTTGGTGAAGAGGAAGCAATGAATGAGGGTTGGGACAGAGTCCAAGTAGATTAGTATTACATTTGTTGTTACAATTCATTACAATGCTCTTCGTAGTGACCCGCGGGTGATACCCCAGGTCCGTTTGCCTGATACCCACAAGCAAACCTGTACCTGCACCACAGGTATGGGTATGGGTCCGACTGTGCACACCCACACGTTTACCCATGCAGTTCCCTAGGGTCAACTGGGAGAGATGAAAAGAAGTTGTTGTTGTTGATAATGCCAGTGCTCTTCTTGGGTGAATGATGGGGTCAGCAATGGTGATGCAGAGGCTGATCATCACCTTCACATTCAGCCTGAATTAGGGTGTTCATGCACTCAGGATTTCTGGGACGTTTTCCACAGCCAAGAACCACCTGAAAAGCTTGATCCTCAGCAAGTACACATGTATCTGGAGCATCAGATGACATCGAGTAAAAATACGGGAACTGGGAGGGGGGAAAGCAAGCAATGGGAGGAAAGGAACAGCACCAGGAGATATCTTGACCAGTATCATGGTTCCTCCTGGATCGGGGCAAAGTAATCAAAGAATATATGATCTGGACATGACATAGAACATGTTAGAGTGGGGTTGATTAGAGATTATAGTAGAAAACATACCACTGGCAGTACTTTGAGGATCTCCATAGTGTGAGGATCAGGTCCAGAATGACTTGTTGCGAAATAAGACATGCGGCTACTGCATGTACAGTAATCCACTGCCACTTGCATTTCCACCATCACTTGCATCAATGCACAACAACATTGTCAAATCACATTATTTAGACACAATTCTTGCTGATGTATTTTCATGGCATGTAGAGCTATGTATGATTAGTATAATATCTCAAATCTGCCAGGAGGAAAGGTCACGATGTTGCAATTTATAGCTGAAATTTCACTTTTCTGTACATAGCACCTTTGAATGATTTTTGTGGTGCACTCAAACTTCATATATCAATGAAGATTACCTTTACTGATATCTGACATGTGTTGTTTGTAAGGATCATAGCATTCCTGATGTGCCAGTTCAATGCCGGTGAAGGGTTACATGAAACTTCACAATCAATGAGTTATCATATCTAAGTACGTTATGCATGACAGATATTAGCTAAATCAGGGTGGGCACATTATGATCTGGTGTGTCGTGTACTAACAAAAATCTTTCCTACAAAATGGCTGGTATAATTAGAGTTGCCAATACCTAAACTAACTCTTGATGATGTTGAAGAAGACAACGAACCACCTATTACTCCCACCTTTCCAATTTAGTAAAGTGGTACATAAGACGTCTGCTCACCCTTATATTAAGTCAAAAAGCCTTATTTGTGAGGACCAGCGGTCCAGACCAGCAAATCAAGGTCACTTAGAACATTTAATATTGTTAGCCTTAGGTAGCACGCGGGAAAGCTGACACAAGCACTATATTCGATAATAGCGCGCCACCACTGTTGCCTTCAACCTTGCACTCATCATCAGCCACAATGAGCTCAACAATGAGCTCAATGTTCCTACTTTTTGGCCATTTTCTCTCCAGCATACCGCTTATTCTTACTATGATGGCATCAACAGCTCGATGTACAAGCAATGTGGCGTATCATTGGCTTCCCAACATGCTTTACCCGTGTGTCAGTCACATGTCACCACCATCAAGGTACCTTGCCTTCAACCACCACCATCGTCCATCCTGTGTTTCTGATGACAAAAGGCAACTTCAGCACACCTGGTACCTCACAAGCATCGCGAATATCTGTCGGAGGGAGGAGGAATAGGGTGGTCCGCAACCAGGACTGTGTCAAACGAGTGGTGGTGGCATCTGCTGAACGAGCAGCCCAGCTTCGAAGTAAGTTTTCTCTTTTGATTTCTATTGCTACCAGCTACTACTATCTACAGGCATGAATCTGCACCAGAGAGAACAGTTTCTTCAGGCCGAACATAGTGTCACTGCACCCTCATCTGACTTCGACTACGATGGAATCAACAATGAGATGGATCTTCCAAGTATCATCCCCCCCATTGGCGAGGAAGGTTTTGCAGTTAGTCATGATGGCAGGGAGATGGAGCTTTATGAGGAACTGGGCCATGCCTTATCATGCCAGCGGTGTGTAATTAGCTATTTTTTCTACTACCTTTCTCTGATGGGACTATCTAGAATTCGTATCAATGATCGCAACCGTCATGACCATACAGCCAGACTTGTATATGCATGGGCAGACCAGTACAAAGCCCTTGTCGATGCATATCTCCAGTTTCGTCACCAAAATCCTTTGTTAGCATCCCTCGACACAAGTATCCCAGCTTCTGAAGACACCTTTTCAATATGTGTTATTGACATCTTCAGTGAGTGACTGTTATCTTTGCTGTGTGTATCTATCTCACATTTTCTTAGAACGACAGCAAGGTGTCTTTAGTCAATGCTTGCCACACATTAATGTGTCTCTCATGACACGCGGGTGTATAGGCTCATTGCCATTGCAGCCAACTGTGGCCATCACCATACAAACACTTGAGGCTTATCGTCAAACACATCGTGTATACCCGAGGCTCAGTATTCATGCAGAGGCGAAGAAGTTATGTCACTTGCACAGTGTGAGTACATACATTCATTTAGTACATTAGAAACTGATGGAATGAGTCTTCTGATTCTAGGTTTGTTATGGTTGGTATTTAGCTGAACAATTTTGCATTGCCTATGACGTATATCTGGAACTTCTGCGGCAGGTGCCTCTTCGTGTCTCACAAGCCCTTGGACACACTGGTCCTAACTGGTGTGCACGCAATTCGTGTCCCTGTTGCCACTACAAAGTCCAGGATAAACCCAAGCTGAGGTTTCTCTTTGAGATTGCACTGGACGGTGTCCTGCATGATGTGGGAATCATGCATGGACATGAATACTAGGTGACCCTCAAAAGACAAAGTCTGTTAGCTTAGTCCTCAGACTAGTCAACCCATACCTTGGTTTCAAACCATGGTTCATATTTCCAGTTTTCCCCAAGTTTCATGATCTGAATACGTTTTGACGGAAAAAGTCTAATGTGAGATGGGAATCACATTTAGACCTAGTTGATGTGAGAAGGGAAATGAAGGTTAAGGTATAGCCTTGCCTTTGGCTTATTCACTTTGGCTAGAGAAAACCATAGAGAAAAGTACAAAGCCTATAAAAAACCTATCCAAAAAGACCGTGTTTCAATTCCTGCCAACTGTATTATTTTGACTGTGTTTCAATTCCTGCCAACTGTCTTATTTTTGCTACCTACTTTTCTCTAGTGTTTCTTTACTTTACTTTTTCATTAGGATGCTTTGACTCACCTGACACTTCATAAAATTGTATCCATAGGCTATGATGTCATTATGATGTCATAAGACTCCACAGATACTCCTGCAGGTATTCTGTTGAAAGATATTATGTCATCAAGCTCTAGATTATTCTACTCTACAATGACATCATTCATGATGTCATTTCCTTCTAGAATATTCTGCTCCACAATGACTCACTCTGACTCACTCATGGAAGGTTCTGGAATCTTTTGCTCCACAATGATGTCACTCTTGATATCATTACTCCACATTCCAGAATGTTCTGCTCCACAATGATGTCATAGCTCCATCTTTCACTTGTATTTTATTCTTTTATTGGGTTTGACCCAATATTTTGATTGGTCCTCCTTATTTTTTATTGTTTGTGAACCTAGGTTACTTTCCCACACAAAATGTATATAAGGAGAGCCCATTCTCCCCCAAAAAAATATGATCTCCCATTTGTAGCTATCTGCCTATCAGATATTTCACTTGCAAAGTTAGTCCCTTTGAAGTGAGACAAGTGCAGGGAAAAGAATTCCCTTGAGATTATAAGTTTCTTACCTTAGAAACTTATTTAGTGCTATAGACCAAGCATTCTTGGTCACATATATTGTCTTTGAGGCCCCTTTGTCTCATTGCTCTGTGCCCTTTGACTAAGTGATCTTAGTCATCTATCATATTGTTGAGACCACGTCTCACTAGTTGTCCCATAGACCAAGTGATCTTGGTCAAGTTATAGTCCCCTTTGTTCAAGTGATCTTGAACATATATTGTATATTTGAGACCATTGTCTCACAGTCAGGTGTCCATAGACCAAGCGATCTTGGTCATATTTCGTATATTTGAGACCACGTCTCACTAGTTCCAGTATCCAAGTCCAGAGCCTAGAAGGAGATTTCCTAGGCAAATACATTCCAGAAACCGAATTACGTGTCTAGAAGCTTATTCCTAGACAAGAGATTTGAGTTTCAATTAAGAAAAGTAAAGCTCCAGCTAGGTTGATCTTTATAAAAAGATTAGTTTAGCGAGCCTCCCAAGAACTCACACGTTATCTACCACGAAATAGGAAAAGTTGTAGACCGTGTTAATCGAGGACTGGCAAGCAGTCTTATCCAAAGTGTAATTGTGGTGTCATTACATTTACACGACTTTATATAAGACCCTCGGTTATTAAGACAACGGTAATGACTTGGCGAAGTTTGTAGACCCTGCATTACATGGAGGAAGAGAGTGCCAAGACCCTCGCAACAGACGATCAGACATATGGATTGATGAGGAATACGTTGATCTATTCAAGGATGAAGTCAAGAACGCTCGACGCTCTCACCATACAAACACCTCAGCCCCTGCTGATATTGTGGATCCCGATGATCCCTGGATATATTGCGAGAATGAAGACCAGGATTCGAATGAACCAGTCGACGTTTGTGTTGATCGATGGCGTAATGCCACACCCGAGGCCCGCAAGCACATGTTCTCTGCTTCCTGGAAGCCTGGTATTTTTGTTGCAGTGTGCCGTCGTGGATTCCTTTTGTCCATATGCAACATGGTCCGCAGTGGCAAGCTGTAAGTTTGAGTCTAGATTTAACAATACCAATCTACTGACAGTTTCTCAGGATGAAATATCCGCTGGCGACAATCAACAGATTGATGGATGTTTTTGCCGAGCAGTTCCTTTACGGCTATGATATCAAATGCGCATTCCATTCCATCCTTCAACGCTCATCCTTAGGACCTGCTGTACAAGACCTTGGTATTGAGGGTGTTGTGCCTGGATTCCATGGACATGCCCATAACCGTCTCTGTCAAGTCCAACATCACTCTAAGTTCATGCTTGGCGCTGGCAAAGAGAACTTCGAGACTTGTGAACAAACATTCTCAGAGTCGAACACCCTGGCACCTGGAATTCGAAACTCAACAGAGTTTCACAGGCATCAAGCCCTTGATGAGCATTTTTGTTTTGCTGATCAAGACAAGTATGCTGCTCTCGGTACGTTCATTGCCACTGATCCTGTTGCCTGATACATACTGATGATAATTATTAGGCACTTTCATTTTTCGCAACTATGTGCAGGCATTAGAATGTATCCAAGCGCATGATGAGTTCCTCCGCCTATTTGATCTCGCACCTGAAGATTTCGAGTCCGATTTGAATGATGAACGAGACTATCTTCAGAAGGCTGGTCGACGGCGACTTGGAGACAGTGTGGAGGTTGAGTACGTGAAGGCACTGAACGAGTTTGATGTGGTGTGGTAAGATTAAATTTTAATGTAAACTTAATAACTGATGTTTGTTTAGGTCTCAGTGGGAGACTGCTCAACACGAATTTAATCAACTCGACCTGCATGTCATACCAGATGGATTCACAAACAAGGATATTGCCAACATCCGCTGCTGCCGCACCACAGCCCAGAACAAGATGGAGCTAAAAGGTCAAGTAGTTGATGATTTCAAAATTCGCATGGGGATCGAGGAGAGATGGATGACGACTCACCCTGAACGTGATCACGTATTGCTAACGTGCAGTACCATAAAGCCCTTGATGACATGGAGCGTCTCGTAGTAATGCGGTTGCTTGAACTTACGAAGCTTCAAATGAGCGGTTTGGGTAAGCTCTCAATATTACTGGATCACACTCTAACATATGTTTTTCAGGTTATAAACTACGAACACAGATTGCAAAAGCTCTGAAGACTCGCGCGACTGCAATCCGGAATGCACTGAACCGCTACAACAAGTACACCGCTCAACTCGAGTCCCCCCTGCCACCAATCACTTGGGAACAGGTAGTTGAATTCTCACAGCTTGCCAAATTCGATCTCCTTCGAGATATGGATAATCAGCTGCAAGATAAACATTGGGTGATTCCTCGTAATCGCCAAGCCTCTGCAAAATACTTTGACCTGCAACGATGCAAGGAGGAGATTGTGCACTGCAATGTTGAGATCATACAACTTCGCACGAAGATTCAAGACGATACCCTTAATTTCCCAGTGGTAATTGCGCAACTTCGTTTATCTGATCCCCCTCTTGCAGGGGAAGTTCAGTGCCGCTGGGATCATATCTGCTCTGTGAATTATTTTCACTTGTCCCGCATTGCGCAGATAGAGGCACTTCCAGGATATTCGGGCAGCAGAGCTACAGGAACATGAGTTGGTCGCATGGACAGCACTCCGCTACAAGACCAACCCGAGGCTGATATCAATGAGCAAAATGTAGATGATGATGCATATGATGATCCTGACAGCAAGCAGCAGACTTTGATGGAAGACTTTTTTGAGCAGCTTCATGATGGACTGGTAGACACAGATGAGGTATAGCTTAGCTTACAATTACATTGCATGTCGAGGTAGAATGTTGTGTATACAAGATGCACTTTTATCATGGTGAATTAAATGGTGTTAATGAGAATGGTGTATACGACTCAGAGACATGTTTCCGATACAACAAGGTAGATCAAATGTGTGTGTAACATATATGGCCAGACTTCTGACACAACGTGCAAGGCGAGAGACGGGAACTGAGACTCAGAGTACTGATTCTGATGAGTGGTGGGTAAAATTACTTTGAAGTTTGAATACTCATGGAAATTGCTGTATGTAGATGTACTGCATGCTCAGAGTTAACGTTCAGCCACTGCGTTGTTTTACATCCTGCCATGAACTGGTCGACAAGTGCCTTCAATCAGCCACCCACTATGGATGGCATAAGTACTCTACTTGAAACACTCTCTCGTCCTATAGAACTTGCTAACATTACAGACATGTCAGATCACTGGCTCTCAGCTATAATTGCCATGTCAGCGCATGGAGCTCACAGCAACAATGATCATCTTTGATCAGACCGAGGTTTCCATCCTTTAACAGCAAAACACTTCCTGAGCAACACATTCGAGGGCATGACAAATGACAATAAACAAGCAGCCTCACAAGAGAGAGCTAATCATCTGTTTCGAGTGCGAAAATTAATATACGACCTGGTATGTTGTGTCTTCATTTACCTGTTCATCATTCAATGATTTTGTTTCAGTGCACCGTTCTTGACCGCCTGTCTGGTGGTGTTACTCTCTGCCTACACCACCCAGGTGCAACAGCACCATTAACAGATCTGCAACCTCAAGATCTTTCTGTGTCACTTTATCTCAATCCGAGGCTGCTCGCCGATCCCTTACAATGTCATCAGCCGATTGCAGAAATCACACAGATGTTTGTTGAGGGGTGTGCTCTACCAGTGGCACAATCCTTCTGGGATGCTTGTCTCGCTCATGGATGGAAGCAGGAGCTGAGATGCAGCTCATCAGACATCCCAGACTATGATTCCCTTCCCCTTGTTCCATTACCTTCCAGCGGTACTGGCTCCTCTGATTTCAATATTCTAGGAAGGCCTTTTGGTTGCCTGGAGCGTGTCATTTCCACTCAACGAACAACTGACTCAATGCTACCTTTCTTGTCTACCTCTACCTCTTCTGCAACTCCAACAATTCGGTGGACAAATCAGCAGATAACATCATCTAAGCACACTCCATCAAGAGATCACGCTCTTGATCTTGATCTTGTAAGTGCAATCATTTTAAAGTTTATGTGTGATTAATGTCGGTTTTTAGGATGACCGGCTCCAACGCCTCACGCTCGGGGACAGTTCGCATCCCTATCCGATTCCTCCATTGGCTTATGAGGCTATGTGTGTGAGGGTTGACCCTGATTCCCCTTCTGAACCTCCTACTCCTACTGTTACTCCGGCTCGTTCAATGTCCACTGTTACTCCAGCTCGTTCGACATCCAGGACAGTTCATGTGGCTCGGACACCATCGAAGCCGCCGCAGTCACATGTGTCTTCAGGCATTTCACCACTGCTGTTACACATGTCTTCAGGTGCTCCACCACTGCCGTCACACACGCCTTTGAGTGCTTCATCAGCAAGCTCACCAACTTGTTCGACAAACTGTTCAGTGCCACTTGTCTCTTCATCATCACAGTCGGGGCCTATGTATTCAATTCCAAAGGAACTTCTTCTGCCATTCAGTCCAAACACTCACGCCACACTGGAGGAATTGGGTTACAGTGACACCCTTCATAATACCTGCCGTGAGGTTTTCAATCCATGTGTTCCTGATAGGTGGGCTTCCGAGCTAGCCAAGAGGGGCAATATTAGCTCTAAGCCTGAAGCTCTTCAAATATCGGCTGCAATGTGGGAGGACTGGAATGTGTTGGGTGGCACTGTCAGGAACTGATCGCTTTGCTTTGTTTTTTTTCAGCAATGTAATACTTCGCTAACATGAATGAATTTCTGAGATTCCCCTCCTCTTCCACTATGGTTCGAGCAGTATTACTGAGCAGCAAGCGGCACATCATAGGCCGCAACCATGCATGCAGGAAGGGTCCAAAATTGTCTCAAGAAACAAGACAAGCTTTGACGGCCCGACAGCATGAAAAACAGGCAGATGAGGATGCTGCAGTGGACGACATACTTACATATATTGATGAACAGGCCACAGATTTGGCTCGTCGTTTTGGAAGAAGCTGTCAATGTTACCTGGAAAAGCTTTACATTGGCTTGGCCTTACGGAGAAAGCGGCGCAACAAGACAAGTGCATGGTCCGCCTTTCTCCATTTCAAAAGCAAAAAATTCAACGCTGGTACGTTCTCTGATGCTACAGAATAGACTCAACTGATTCATTGCCAATAGACAAAGACATAGGCCAACGAGCCAACCTTCGTGCCATCGCTAAGGAGACAAGTGAATATCACCAACTTACACTCGAGCAGCACGCCGAACTGGTGGAGGAATTCGAAAAAATCAAAACGTCAGGACTGAGCAAGCCAGTGAACATAACATCTCGTACTCGTCTCGCGGAGGTAAATACTAGCTTTGCAGCCATGGTCAGCGAGGTCAGTCCTAAATGTTCTTAGCTCACAGTTCAAAATCTGACTTGTCTCGGCACAAGCTGAAGCACTGAAGGAACGTGTGGGCACAGAAACATTAATTGTCACTGTGCGAAGTTCATCTAACCTCAACATGCTACCAAAAGTACACCTTACAAGCAACGTAGTATCTCACTTTGTTCGTACACTTCTGTAGGAGGATCCAATGAAACTTGGCATTAAGATGGAGTCCACTGTGCTTGCTGGACTTGTGCCACGAAATGGTAAAATTTCAGTTTTCTGGATACTTTCTTGTTATTAATGCCAATTTCTCTCTCCCTCTCTAGTTCTGTCTATGAATTATTCAGACCGCAAGTTGGCTGCCAAGCAAGGCATACGAAGTGGTCTAAATGAAAGTCTAGGTATAAAATTTGGTAGTCCTTGTCTATAGTCCGCTAATCTATTTAAATAGTCGAGGTTACCGAGAATGCAAACACCACACTAGAGTTTGTCCGCTATGAACACATGGTTCAGGAGCATCTAGTCAAGCTGATCGGGTGGTGCCACAACGAATGGGGTAACCCCAGCAATCTGAAAGGCGGAGTTGGCCCACTAGAGGCTCTTGCACAGGCAGTTTCCGATAAGAAGTGCAAGTTTATTCGAATTACAAGACAGGAAGCTGATGAGCATATGAAACGCATCGAGGCGGGTGAGGTTTTGACCCCAAACAAGGTAGATCAAGAACCGGAGGAGAGCCCCATCGATGATGACGACACATATGAGGGCAACGACATTGGTGGTTCTGCTGACCAGACAGATCATCTTCCCCTCCCCACGCCATCGTCTCCTACAACACCCCCTCGCAACAATGACTTAGGTCCTGCTGACCAGACAGATCATCTTCCCCTCCCCACACCATCTTCTCCTACAACACCCACTCGCAACAATGACTTAGGTCCAGCCCCTCGTACTAGCGAGATCACTGAAGATCTTATTGATCCTGCCCTTCTAGGTAGTTATTTTAACTGTGTACATTATTACTACTGACTTTCCACTATTTTTCAGCCCCTCCCATTCCGAACATCTCCACGCCATCTCCTCCACTCGCCACAACACCTAGCAGGTTACATATGGAACCGCGTCTACCCAACACTCAGCTGTTACGACTTGGATGGTATCTGTTGGCGACACTCAAACAGAGCTTGTGTCGTCAATGGTCTGTGGACGTCCTTGGGCTAGCCCAAGGTTAGGGGTCGTACTTGGCGGGTCTTCAGGCAAGTACGATTTAACGCCTATGTCCAAATCGGGTAGCTTATGTCACGCGGGTGCGAGACGATAAGCTATATCGGCCTAGGCTTACGATACCCGAAGGTTAATCGTAAGGATCGTCATTAATTTAGAAGGACAGAAGTCCGACTAGTTAACAGGGGCTTTGCTCGTCGACGAAGTCGATGAGTAAAGGTCGAGACTATAGGCTTATCCGCGATGAGCAGATAAGAAGATAGAATATAGACTGCTGGCGAAGCAGAAAGGATCACTCAGTTAAGAGTAGGAGGTCAAGAACCAAGTAGATTCAAGTTAGGGAATATGGTACATGGTAGCGAGTTTATATAGAGGACAGGAGACGTATTAGTGGGTGATAACTCGTACTACCGGGAGAGGCAATTGGTAAAGGGTATGACTATAACAGGAAGGCACGTTCGGTCGAGGTAGAACGTGCTAGATAAGAAAGTGAGTCAAAGGTCGAAAATAAGAAGTGAAACATGCAGGGGCACGATCGTGCAGCTGCGGATCTAAGTATAAGTTGCATGTGCGACTGCGCACCGAGTCAGAGATCAAGAAAGGAAACAGGGCAAAGGGGATGCGTCGTGCATCATATCATAGGTTACCGTCCGGACGGTAATGGCAATTAGACTGTCCACAGGATCAGTCAGGTGGTGGAACGGAGCATGGGTATGCTTCGTCAGCGAAAGGATCAGGCCAGATGTACTGGCTTTGCTGAAGCGACAGGTAGAGGGCGAAGGGGAATGCGAGGATGACGAGGATGACAAGGGTGAGGTCGGGGTAAGGGTATGACGTGAGGGCTGATACGAGGAGGATTAGGAGAAAAATAGTAGGGGCCCAAGCATCTAGATGTTCTTGTAACATCAGCCGCCAATTGCACAATGTGCCACAAATAGAGTGCCGTTGAAGCGGAAGAGGAAGCCCACTGAAAAAGCGGCACTCTATGCAGCATCGAGGAAGTCTCATAAGTTGAAAAGAGGGGTAAAGAGCACTGCGGTGGTAGATTCGGATGAGGAGAACGAGTGGGAGGACATGGATAATGTCTAATACACTGCATTACAATTTATTCGCCCGTTGTATAGGTCCTATATACTGTTTAAATGCATTATATTGAAAATAAAATTGTCATATAAAAAAACGCGCCCAAAATGGAGCAGAACTGAGCTCGTTGTTGAGCTCGTTGTGCACAACGATGAGCGGAGCATTGGCGGCAACAGTGGTGGCGCGCTATTACCGAATATAGTGCTTGTGTCAGCTTTCCCGCGTGCTACCTAAGGCTAACAATATTAAATGTTCTAAGTGACCTTGATTTGCTGGTCTGGACCGCTGGTCCTCACAAATAAGGCTTTTTGACTTAATATAAGGGTGAGCAGACGTCTTATGTACCGCTTTACTAAATTGGAAAGGTGGGAGTAATAGGTGCAACGAACGTGGTGTGAACGAAGACGAGGACATTGACGGCGATGATTCTGATGGTGGGAGCTCAGAGGTTTGATCGGCTTATTGCTTATCAGCAATAATTAATCATGTACAATTAGTTCTTATGGTTGAGTAATACCATTTTTGGGACCGACGCAAGTGACAGTGGAGGGTTGATAAAGGCCTCATTCTTGATTCATTCACCACTTTACAACACATGTTCTGATGCTCTCAATATTCTATCATACACAATAGTTCATGTATTAGAAACTAATTGTCACTCACGATTTTTGTTTAAATGTGTTGTTGTGTTGTGAGACATTCTCAAAGTTTTACCGACGCAAGTGACGGTGCATTACTGTATAAGTTACACCGTAATACCCGTATACGACCGTACAAATACGGCAAAATACGGGGCCTTTATACCCGTACCCCGTCCCGTCAACTCAAGGTTGAAACAACCAACGGTACGGGTACGGCGACCGTATTACGGCCCCGTAAAGTCCCGTCGTACGGCGTACGGTGAACAGCCCTAGCTTGCTACGACGAGCTACAAGTGGTTCCCATAGCACTATATAGTGAGTCATGTGCCTACGTAGTAGCTGCGTGTAGAAGGGACTTGACACATTGCACTACAGGTACTACAGCGACTATACAGTACCCTGTAGTCAAGAGTATTTTTCCTGATGGTACCTTTTCCAAGCGCTACCAAGGGTACGGGAAACCACCAATTTGCGTTTCACTGGTGACTGCACAGAAATGATGCCACGGCCCACGGAGCACGAGCTGGCATCCTCTTTGTCCCTGATCGTACGTCGATAAAAGTGTTCGGTTGCACCATACACCAATTGTGTATAAAAGCCACTCGTTTCGGCCCAGAAAATTTCATCAATACTCCACCATGAAATTCACTTCACTCGCCACTATTATCATCTCTGCCGTAGCAATGGCTGGAATAGCTATTGCATCTGAAGATGTCTTTGTAACACCCATAGGCCTATCCTGCGACACCGCACATGAAAGTGAGCACTCTTGCAGCCTATTACGTGCAGACCTTAGACTGCATACTTATGGTTACCCACAGATGCAGAACAGTGCGGGACGGGCCTGAAAGATTTTAACAAAGGCAATGATTACGTGTATTACTGCGGGGCCGACGGCACGATTCAATCATACACAACATGTGGCTGCAAAAACTGTTGTGTTAGTGGTGGAAGGAACGCCAATTGTTAAACCTGAGTGAGCCTGTCTTTCCATGCTGCCTTTGGAGTCCGAGTGTTAATGTGCTTGATTGGCAAAAAGGTGAGAACGCTGTGGAGCCCGTTGTTTGTTGCAATGTGACAGCAGCGCATGACTTATGTATCGCGACATAGTACTATCAATTTGAATGTGGCACTCCGAGTCCTGGTGAACGATGAACGATGTTAAATTGGCTGACTACGCTACTGAACTCAGGTCTACATATAGAAGTGCCTCATCATGAGACTTCAAATGTTGCAAATGTCTAGGCAAATGAAACACGCTCAGGGTTTCTGACATTGGATTCGTCATGCGCTTGTAAATCCCTCAAATTTACCAAACGAATACTTGCAACGTGCCACTTGCCATGCGCAATTTTTGTCGCCTACGTAGCGGCCATTTGTGGTTGAATCGCTGATCAAACTCATGGGTACTTGAAACTTTAGCATCCGATACCAATCCTTATTGTGCTGTCTCTCATGTATTCGTGTTATTAGTTAGAGTCGGAATATTAGACGGGAGTTCCTCGCCTCAGGAAAGGCTACGGGGCTTGTGACGAAATTATACGATGAGCTTGGTATGAAGACAAAATTGCTCCAAACACAATTGAATGCTTGATCATTCTGTAGTCCCAACCTGCTACTAGAAAACACTGGATCGTAGAGCCGAGTGTCTTTCCCGTAGCGTCGGTGTCCGTAATCAGCACATTCACAACGCTGAGTGGCACTACCAAAGACGGTATCTCCATTCTTCGTGGGTTGACTCGGAGTTTAGATCGGAATGATTGCACTAAGAATTATCACCGTCTGAATAAATCAACGTGTCCACTAGGGAGATGCTGACGACTTGCCAATGCACTCAACCTTAGCAAGATGCCGCTTTCAATGGCTCACATACGATGCCTTAAGCTTGTCGTCGAGGAGCCTGGCAAAAATTAAAGAATGGAGCGGTCAGGCATTTGAGTAGCAAGGATGTTTACCCCTGCATGTGGTGGAGGAGAGATCTCCTCAAGTGAGGAGCGGTAGCCTTCGAGTTGAGGCCTCATCGTTTTGGTGACAAGGAAATTGGAACGGATTGAACGGTGGATGATGAGATGTGATACAGTAGAGAAATATTATCCGATTGCACACAGCTAATATACGATCGTGCCACCACCCAGCTAGAGAACACTGTGGTATTAGAACACAGAGAGTACATTAGAGATATATGACATACCTGCTCTAGGTGAGCGTCAATGATATCACCATCTTCCATTTCCATCTGATGATGCGTCAGCGTGCGAGCGCCAATCATTCTCTGAGCATCAGTAGAGCACTCACATCCATAGGTGTGTTTTCAGGCCGCAATCTTTTGCCATCGTAGATGAACTTAAACGTCCCTGAAGGGTTGACCGTGAGTACAAAACTTCTTCAACTTTCGGGAAGCAGCCCGCTGCTCACCTGATTCTTTTTGGAACCGTTTCTGGTGCACGTCATGCGAATTGATGAAAGAGCAAGATTTGATGCAACGATCATGTGCTCACCTCTGCTGCATCAAATATCTTCTTAAACGACATGTTGTGCTTCACCTTCACAGTGATTTCTGGCCACGGGTTGTCAATACCCGTCGAACGCGTCGGAATAACATGTAAAGAAGACTGACGGGTACCCTCATAGTTAATGACCAAGCTCAGTTTCGGTTTGACATCCTCAGTTTCTTCAGACATATCTGTACACACAATCGGTTGAAGGCAGTGGTAAAAGGAATGGGGTTCTGGTATAAAACGACACTAGCCTGTGGTCTTGGCCGTTTAGTAACGCGTACAAACGCGTGCATTTCAGAAGCCACTGGTTTTCCCACCCTCACGTGGCTTTTTAGCGAATAGGTGCTGTGCCACGATGTCAAGGGGGATCAGTGTACACATCCATCACGATGAAGGGATCTCGCACAGAACCGTTGAGGCTGTTGAGGTGATACGCTAGTATTAAACTCGAGTATATCAGATGTTCATGCACCATACTTTATATATTGGTCTTAAATTTAAATAAATCATGTGTCAGACAAACAAGTGTGCGAATTATGAGTTGTTAGAAACAAAGGGGTATTTTTTCAAGATAAATTGCAGGTATACATCATTACGACAGGACGTCTACGTCGAACAGAACGATGTTCCGACAATCGGACAATAAAAGAATTACAGTAGAAAAATGATCTTGCAGACTATAAAGCACTCCTGGGCGATGCAAATATTTACGAGAACTTCCATCTACAAGTGATAAATGAGACATGAACTTCCTTGAAGGTAGCTTACTTACTTGTTGCCACAGTTCACGCATCTGTAGATGAGACGAAAGGTGAGTATGTCTTGTACAACAAGTAAAGGTCACGTACGTCACGAAAGTCTAGAAAAACACATTCATAAACTTTAGTCTGATTTCCATGAAACACATTTACTCACTGTCATTGGCTCGTCGGCGCTTCTGGTCTGTGCCTGGCGATAGCGACACTTGCGCTACAAACGATGAGATACCAAGCCACCAAATGAAACGAAAGCATCTTACTTGCTTGCATCTTCCACACTGGAAGCCTTCCGTTTCGGCTTCTTGTTCGCCAGCTCCCAAGGACTTAAAGAAATTTTCCTCCTTTATTTTTTGGTCTGCCGCTCGTCGTTCTTCCGAAGACATTTCCTGGAACAAATCAGCTTAAAAAATCGATCTCATGATGCCTGACATACCTCGCTTGTCATTTTGCTGAACTTCTCCGCCGAAAGATCGCCGCTGACAATGTTCTCTCGCAGACTTGGATTGCCCTTGTCCTTGAGGTTGACGTACGAAGAACGGATCTTGCCCTTGTATGCAGCGTTGGTACTGCCAAACTGTGCAAAAACAGCGGCCTCCACAGCTTTTGCTCGGCTCATAATTAAATCACTGGCTGTTTTCAGGGTCAGTTGAGAGCCAGATAGTGAAGTTGAAGTCTGGGATCAACTCACGAGCACCAGAATCACAAGCAAGGCCATCATAAATGAGTTCCGTGCACTTGTCCCGCGTATTGTCGCCCGTACCGGACGCCTTTGCACCATCTCCTTTCGCAGTACGAGGTTCTAACTTTCCGTTCACTGGGGCGGGGGTAGCAGCGTTGGATGGTGTGACCGAAGCAGATCCCTTGCGAGCTTTATGAGAGGATAGGATTGATAGCCATGGTCATCATAAGGATTTAGTAGCATATGTGGATCGGACTCACTTGGTGCTGCCTTGCCGTTCGCAGGCGTCCCCGCCTTTGAGCCTGAACCTCCTTTAGCGCGCTCCACCTCATTTTTCCACTTCTTCACGATCTCTCTGGCGAGTTCGGAGACCTCTTTTGCCTCATGGGTCCGCAATTTTCCGACAGCAAGCCCCGCTTTGCTTTCCTATGAATTCACACCAGCCTGTGAGTCAAAACAGAAGGCAAAATCCGAGCATGAATACCTACCCTTAAGATTGCTTCATTTACTTGAAAGTCTTTCTTCAAGATTTGCAGAATTGATACCTTTTCCTACACGAGGGTCGTCAGCAAACCAAAATACAAGCATTGACCTAGAAAGATTTGTACACACCTCTGTTGAAGTATTTTGGAGCTGTTTTACGAGCTTCTTAAGCTCGGCTGCTGCTGCTTCAGACATGACTGACGAAATGACGCCTAATGTCTACGACTATGTTACTTCAAGCGCTATTCAATCCTTCTTAAACACCTAAACCAAGACCAACGAAACGGTCTTAAGCATGAAAGCTCTTTACTTCAAAGTTCAGATAAGCGAACCACGCCTTTGATCGCCTTTCTCGTAAACAAACAAACAATGGTAATCAAACCGGTCACCTGCCACTGCCAGTGGCAGACTGGGCAGTGACCGCCGACAATTCAGTATTATCAATGAGTACAGCATATGCTCTTCCGCCGCTGGATTCTTTACTGAAGAGGAGTGCAAAACGCACGAGAGACATATTTGCATCATGTCCAAATGATGGGATGAAGGAAGATGAGAAGAGGTGTGTGACGAGTTCTGGGATGCCGAGCACATTTGCTGAAGAGATTTTTTAGTGCGCGGATACGTTTGTCGGTGAAGATTAACGATGAATACCGTGATTTCAAAGAGCTTCCTCCTGCATTACTTGCTCAACAGGGCCCTATTGGACCTGCTCGGCCAAAGGAGCAGACAAAGTCTATGGCACTCATTGCCACAATAGACAACACACCTAAAGTACAACCGTCCACGTTTGTTACGTCCAATAAGCTCTCCGAGGCATTGACCCTACACAAAACAACTCGTACCATCAAGCCAACATACCATGCTCCGTGGAAGCTCGTCCGTGTAATATCTGGTCATCTGGGTTGGGTTCGTAGTGTAGCGGTCGAGCCAGGAAATCAATGGTTCGCTACTGGCGCTGGAGACAGAGTTATTAAAATATGGGACTTGGCTTCGGGGGAGTTGAAGCTTTCTTTGACCGGTCATATTTCCACTGTCCGAGGGCTGGCTGTCTCACCGAGACACCCGTACTTGTTTTCGTGTGGTGAGGACAAGGCGAGTCATTCTATCACCCGCCAATCTCGTCTTGTTAATCATCACTCCCTTTAGATGGTCAAGTGCTGGGATCTCGAAGCCAACAAAGTTATCCGACATTATCATGGTCATCTTTCAGGTGTTTACTCGTTGAGTTTACACCCAACGTTGGATGTATTGGTCACATCAGGTCGTGATGCCTCAGCTCGTGTCTGGGATATGCGTACAAAGGCCCAGATTCATGTTCTCGCGGGACATTCCGCAACAGTAGCGGACGTTAAGTGCCAAGAATCTGATCCACAGGTCATCACTGGAAGTATGGACTCGACAGTTAGGTACGTCAAATTTTACCCGATTTCACACATTGGCTGATACTGCCTTGGTTAAGGCTGTGGGACCTAGCAGCTGGAAAAACAATGGTCACCCTCACCCATCACAAAAAATCTGTAAGGGCCCTGGCAATTCACCCGACAGAATATTCCTTTGCATCAGGTTCTGCAGGCGGTAATAATATAAAAAAGTGGAAGTGCCCGGAAGGTGCATTTGTACACAACTTCTCCGGTCATAACGCTATTATAAATACGCTTTCTGTCAACGCGGAAGGCGTATTTTTCTCTGGTGGTAGGTTACCATATCCTATTCACTTTCCTCAAATTTGAATCAATCGCTTAGGTGACAATGGCACACTAACGTTCTGGGATTATAATACGGGGACTCCATTCCAAAATCTTGATGACGTGCCTCAGCCCGGTTCCCTCGAGGCGGAAGCTGGTGTCTTTTGTTCGACCTTCGATATGACCGGAACACGGCTCATCACTGGTGGCGCCGACAAGACCATCAAGGTTGGTCGGGTAATTAAAAACGCGCATAACTTTGCTTATTAATCTTGTGCAGGTTTATGCCGAGCAGTCGCAATGATTGCTACCCATATGTATTTTTTTTCGCTACAGAGTCTTGTTCGCTGGTACATGGAACCACCAGCATGATACGTGCAGGAGGCAGTGAATGACAATATTGATAACAAGAGTCAACGCTAAGGGTTCCTCAGGGTCTTGCATAGGCGATTGCTCGTATCTAAGAAAGTCAGGGCTAATCAAGGCATTTCCGAGGACCGAGACAAAAGGACCATATCTGTGAGCTTTACAAGATCAATTTATTATTTATAGCCCCAAGTCTGTATTCGAACTCGTATCCACCTGGTTGGCAGGACTTTTAAATTCTTCTCGCGCTAGCTCGGTTTCGCCCAAAGTGACAATTGGCGGTGTAGTGCGAGAGATGTTAGAATCAGCCCCAAGAGAATTGAAATGTGAAGATGGATTCATGCTTTCAGAGAGGAAATACAGACGGAGCACGATGTACAAGGTCAGACGCAAGCATTGGAGCCCGTCGATAACAAAAAAAAAAGATATACAAATGGTCCGTTCAAGAGTCCCGGGAGAGAGACGTCTAAAAAGAGTAAGAAATCAGACATTTTGTACGCAAGGAAGATTTACAGAGTCATCTGTAGAGGGGTATGTAGGTACCCCTCTACAGATTGAAAAACTTACAGACGGGGTGTTGACAGCGACTTTCCTATTGCAATTTGGCTATATGGTTAAGGCATGAGGATGAAGAGAAACTTATCTGGGAACCCTTACCAGGAAGGCACCCATTTGCGTGTCACTGCATAGAAGAAAACAATGCGATACCGCGGAGCATGGGCTGGCATCGAGTTTGTCCCTGAGCATACGAGGACGAAAGTGTTTGGCAGCACCATACACCAACTGTGTATAAAAGCGGCTCGGCTCTAAAAACTTCATCAATACTACTCCACCATGAAATTCACTTCACTCACCACTATTATCATTTCTGCCGCAGCAATGGCTGGAATAGCTATCGCATCTGAAGACTTGACAATAGATCCCATTGGCTTTCCCTGCTCCCCCAGCAGTAAGCACTCTTGCGGCCCACGTGCAGACCTTAGACTACGTACTTACGATTACCAACAGATTCATACCGCTGCGAGAAGGCCTTCGGGACTTTTAACAACGGCAACGATTTCGCGTATTACTGCGGACTTAATGGCAAGATCGCAAAATATGTAAAATGTGACTGCAAGAACTGTTGTGTCCAGCTACCTGGTTACCAGTTCAACTGTCCGCACCACGAAGTGAGCCTGTCTTTCCATGCTGCCTTTCGAGTCCGAGTGTTGATATGCTTGATTAGCCAGTTGTGCGAACTCTGTAACGTGGCATGGGGATATTTAATTCGGTCTCCGGTCTCCGGTCAGCGAGTTCAGGCTCAGCGACAATTTATGTTGCATCAATATCGCTTGAATTGCCAGAGTTTCGCCACCTGACTTGTGTTATGTGGCGGCGTCCGCCTTATGTCAATTTCAAATCCCATCATGATCCATGTCAAGCTTCCTCACGGGCCTCAGGCCTCAGCCATGCCGCCTCAGCATGCTAATCATATTAAAGTTACTATTCTGATTCATGTCTTGTATTAGAAAACCTATTACATATGCAATCCGAGTCTAGGCTCTGTTCTAACTTCTGGCTAAGTATGTCCGTAATAAATTCGTTGAGAAATGGTGGAGATCGTGTTTTTAGCGTGACAGCAGCAAAAATCGCGGACTGGTGTCACCTGCCGTGGCTGCCGATGTCGGACATTAAATTTAACAGCGCATGTCGTTGCGACCTCATCACTATTGCCGGCGCTCTTTCGCTACCCGGAGATGGGACAATGATGGAACTGACAGGACGAATTAAAGATTATCTTGCAGGAAATCCTGAGTGCGCCAGTCAGCCAAGATTTATGGGACTTCTTGGGAACAATTTCAAACGAGCGAGTGCCGTTAGTACATATAGCGTCGGCAGTTTCAAATTCGAGTCAACCACGCACTCAACCCCACATTCAAGTCACAGACTTTACAATCCACCTAGTACTAGTATGTATCAATACCTACATCCATACACTACATTCCCGAGCTTTCAGCATCATTTGACACAGTGTTAAAATTTTTCATCTAATGGTTCTATAGCTATACAGTTGCGGACAGGCGAAGTCCGCAAATTTACAGACCGAATTTTCTGGGATGCACAACTTAACGGAAAGTGTTAGAAGCAGTGTTTTCATAGACTAATGGACATCTAGAATACATTTGCACGAGCCTGATTTCTCATGGCTGCCATTTTGACATTTCCAGTGTCCAAAATTTGGCGTGCCCCCTAAAAATTCGCTAAAAATATGGAAAAATGTGCAATCGATTGCTTTCGCTGAGTTGTCTTTGAATCGATAATCAGAAAAACATGAGTCCGTCAAAAAATGGCATGGGAAAAAACCTGTACAATTGACAATTGAACTCATCATGGCTCGCGGCCGTCCCAGAAAAAAAGCACGAAACATCACCGGTCTTCGACATCAAGTATCGCAAAGTGTTTCTCCTGCATCTGCATTGGGTTCGGCGGGCTCGACTCGAGAATCAAGTCCTTGTCAAACGGAATCAGGCTGGCAGTCTGATTTGGAGGATGAGACACTTACAGTGGCTTTCGATGGATTAAAGATCAACTTCGAGCAAGAATATGAATATGTTGACCTGTGGATCAACAGACTCGGATGAATCGGACATTGATGAAGAGGTTGAACTGGATGTGTTGAATGACGAAGAATTTGGGAAGAAGCTTGCAGAGATGGCAGCAACAGAAGATGGGAAGGATCCTGACTGGATTCCTGAAAGGCTGCAAAGGAAGATGCAAAAAGCTGCAGCGAAGCGCAAGCGTGAGTGCAAAAGCAACAAAAAATACCATACAACTCACCTCCCTGAAGCACGACCTGCAACCTATGCTAAGGGCCCCGATGTCATGAGCAAGTCCAAGCGGACACAGCAACGCTATCAGAAAAGTTGGAGGGGCCAAACATCACTCAGTTCATTCGGATTTCAGCAAACGCGAGGCTCCATTGCTCCTGGTGCACTCTCTGACTCATCAGATGCACCAGTTAGTGAACCAGCAGAGCTGGCATTCAAGTCAAGCCCTTTGATAATCCTGCCTCGTGCACGAAGTGTTTCGATGATGTCAGATCCAAGTTTTGTCGATGATCGAGACTGCTGCCAGTGATTCGGATGAGACCAATGCTGTGCATGACAACACGACAAATGAAAATGACAATCCGGAAGATATCTCAGGCGAGGGTGATGCAGAGGAGTGGGAACAAGAGCTCGACAGCACAGTTGCATCCAATACCGAAATTCGTGACTGGAAAACACTTCGCAATCAAATCCAGAATGATCTTCGAGCTGGGCAGAAAGCTTTACCCCTTTCTCGTATCAATCAGCTTCTTATTCTATCCAACTTCGCTACTCTTCGTCTCAAAGGTGCCTCCCGCATTGGTGCCAGTTTAGAGATTGCTCGTCAGTGGCATGACGGGAATGGCAACTGGTTTGCACGTCGAGTCCGTGCACTGGCCCGTCACTACCAAATATTCGAACAGCTCCCTGTTGAAAGGCGAGGTGGTAGCAAGAATGCTCGGTCCTTCTTGCATGACGAATCAGTGCAGAATCGTGCACGAACGTGGCTATCAAATTTGCCAACAGGAACTGTAACACCACAAGCTCTGCAAAGTGCAGTAACGACAACAATCTTTCCTGAACTGGGTATTGTTCCCAAGAACCCGATTAGCGAACAGCACAGCTCGACGGTGGTTGATAAAGCTTGGGTGGCAGGAAAACTATGATAAGGAAAGGAGTTTACATGGATGGTCACGAGCGAGAAGATGTTGTGAAGTATCGACAGGAGGTTTACCTGCCAGCAATGGCAAAGTTTGAGGCACGGATGGTTCGATTTGAAGGACCAGAGTTGACGAGAATTGATCCAATACTAAATCAAGGAGAACGTCAGATCAAGCCATACTGGCATGACGAATGTTGTTTTCACGCCAACGACAATGCTCGAAATGCTTGGTGAGCCTTCTGTGATGGTCATGGTGATACTGCAGCTTATTTTTCTCGTACAAGGTTAAAGCCCGACGAGCAACCTCTACGCAAGAAGGGACGTGGACGTCTGATTCACGTGTCTGATTTCATCAATGAGGAACATGGTCGGCTCATCTTGCAAGATTCTGACAGCACAATCCTAAAAGATGCCCGAAAAATCATTTATCCTGGTGCCAACGGTGACCCTTGGTGGACACACGAAAACCTGCTCGAACAGATGAAATCAGCAATTGAAATCCACGAGGAAGTCAGCAGCCCAGGTTGCCAAGCTCTCTTCATTTTTGATAACTCATCAGCCCACGCATCTCTTCCTCCCGATGCTCTCAAAGCATTCAACATGAACAAGTTTGATGGTGGCAAGCAGCGTCGGCAGCGCGACACAGTCATCCCTCTAAATAATCCTGATATCTCGAAGCGCGGACTCGTGCAAAAGATGACTAATGCAAAAGACGAACCAAAGGGCCTGAAAACTGTTCTCGAGGAGCGTGGATTTAATGTCCAAGGCTTGCGTGCGAAGTGCTCTCCTGTTTGTCCAATCGATAACAAAAGTTGCTGTATGGCACGACTCCTCAGTCAACAAGATGATTTCTCGTGTCAGACATCGATGCTCGAGGAGTTGATTAGAAGCAAGGGTCACGAGTGTATTTTTCTGCCGAAATTTCACTGTGAACTGAATCCGATCGAGATGGTAAGTGGTCCGTATATCCGAAGTTAACTCATAGCCTTAACTGTTGAGGCAGTACTGGGGCTGGTGCAAATACCGTTACCGCGAGGCATCAAAACCGAGCTTTGCAACAGCCAAGAAAGTGGCGTGGGAAATCCTTGATTCCTGTCCAGTCGAAGTTATCTGGCGGTTTATCAACAGATCGTACCGTTTTATGAGTGCATACAGAATAGGTTTGACTGGGAAAGCAGCAGAATGGGCTGTGCGCAAACAGAGACAGCACCATCAGGTTTCGCAGCGTGCGATGATGGCAATCGAAGCAGTTCTGTCATAGTTTTATTGACATGTCATGAAGAAAGTATCATACCAGACGTCAAAAAATTTGGCGTGCCAAAAATGTCGTGGGAAAAACCTCGGAGCAGTATTTTCACTGCCTGAGTTTGGATCGGGCCTCAGTTTGGCCTGAAAAAATCACATGCAGGCCCTACAAAATTTGCGGACTTCGCCTGTCCGCAACTGTATACTAATTCTTCGTACGTACTGTAGCTCACAGACTTACTAGTAGCGTCCTTAGTAATCAGTTGCTCAAGAACTTCTTAACGTCTGCCGAACGGACTGTGAATTCGGCGGGTGTGACTGGTTGTTACTATTCATGACATGAGTGTGACTCACGAAACAATGGACCGTCACGGAGGTGTAGTAAGTGATAGTATGGCAGAGTCGTGTCAAAATAGCTATGCCCCTTCGACCGAGTTTGCTCGACTCAAGGATATTCGTAATGAAGAAAAAATGATGGACACGGACTTTGCCTCAGACTGGGATGTGGATGGGAAGGAGTTTTTTTGGAAGAGATAGCAATCGACACGAAGATGGGACTTGTAATATTGATTCTTTATGGCTGTAGCCTGTCGGGTGCCATTTAAACAACCGTGTTTCTGTCAACTACCACATTGGCAAAACATAATTCTGCCAGTTCTGCCCACAACACTAGCCCAGTCTGGTCACTCATTTGCGTGTCACCGCATAGAAGAAATTGAAAGAATGCTGCGGAGCATGAGCCGGCATCCGGTTTGTCCCTGAGCATACGACGATGGAACGTGTTTGGCTGCACCACACATCAATCGCATATAAAAGCCGTTCTACTCGTTTCGTCTCAGACAACACCATCAATACTCCACCATGAAATTCAATTCACTCACCACTATTGTCTTTCTGCCAAAACAATAGCTTGGAATGGCTATTGTATCTGAAGACTTCACGATAACACCCATGGGCCTACCTGCGGTCCCCAGAGTGAGTACTCTTACGGCCTACGTGCAGACCTTAGACCCCTTACTTACGGTTATCCACAGGTACAATACTGTGCTCGTCGGGCATCAAAGGTTGGAACAACGACAACGATTTCGGGTATTTCTGCGGACCCATAGGCTTGATCATACCATTTACAGCATGCCCCTGTGAAAACTGCTGTGTCGTGATTGATAATTAGGATAACTTCATCTGTGAAACCTGAGTGAACCTCCCATTCCCTGCTACCTTTCGAGTCTGACTGTTAATGTGCTTGATTAGCATGCTGTGCGCAAGACGGCGTGAAGGAGTGCTAAAACGTAAAATCAATTACCTTGGTCACTCTCAACTGACAGTTGTAGCTGTGGTGTTCCACAACGACACACCCGCGCAAAAAAGCCAAATAGCAGTGGTCGCGCATCCCATAAATACTGGACGAAGAAGATCATCCGATTGTGCGCTGTCTGTGGGTGAACGATGAAGAAAGTGGAGCATATTTGAATGGAATCACATACCAGACGCCAAAGATGCTGTCACTTGCGATGGAGAGGACCTAAGTATCACACGCGGCTTTTCTGCTGCCTTTGCGTGGACGAGTATGAGATGAGTGCTTTCTGTCGTACCTCGCGTATTTCTGGATGCTTTCTCCTGGACTCGCTGGCAAGGAAATTTAGACGAAGGTATAGTAAGTGGACGCTGGCGGGTTATCCGGGTCATTGTAAACATAAGTATACTTGCAATTCAGTCACTAGGCCCGGGACTCGGAAGGCTAGTGATCTCATCTCGTCCGTTATTCTGAACCAGATTTAGATAAATCCCGACAAATTCCAGCAGGTTTCTGTGAATTATCAGAGGAACACAGCTCAGTACGCAGAAATTAAATATTGAAAGAAATTATCAACATGCATGAGCGCCGGGACAAGTGTATTATTATGGGTGGTGATATTACATAATCCAGTTGTTTTCAAGTCGATACCGAACATCGTTTAGCTATACTTAGTTTTGCAATGGAGTGGCCAGTGAGAGACGTCAATTTAAAGAGGCAGCACAGGTTCGGGACCGAACAGAATCATACGGCACGCGTTGTGATATATTGACCGGATGGAAGCGCAACATCATCTACCAACGCCTTTGTGGAAGGGAAAACGGGAAAGTGACACTCCTTCCTCTGGCTTTGTACCAACCAGTACTAGTAAGTCAGTGCAAATCGCACGAGAGTCGAGCTTCCTGGACCGTGCAAGATAAATGACAATGTCATACATTTCTTCGGAATCCGAGAGTCAGATATGTATCAAGATATCAAGGCAGGATATGAAGAACAACGACGAGAAGGTCAGAGTGTGGAAGTTATTGGATGTTCCCAAAATGGGTGGTAGGTGGCCAAAAATGTGCTGGGAATGACACAAGGATATCGTTAAAATTGTGGGGGTAGACCCTTGTTGAGTTCCAGATGGTAATGAAATGGTACCAGGGAGTTGATGCTACAGATACGATGCAAGCTCGTCATAGTCACAGCACAAAATCGTTTATATCTACCATAGAAAGCAGGCCGGTTGGTACTTGGGTGTCGTTGCCAACAATTATTCATTGGGAGTACGTTACTCGAGATCTGAATCTCCCTCAGAATCACTAGAATCCGTGTTATCCTGTTCAAGGAGTTGTCAAATAGTGAGATTGACTAGCAAGATGTGACACTCACGTTGATGTACACCGGCACCTCTTCACCATCCTCATCGAGAGGCTGCCACGGGAGGGGAGGGGCAACCCATCTAGTACGCTGATCAGTTAACCATAACGTCAGCCAAATGGTCGCACTCACAAATTTTCGTCGGTGGATGATGATGCCCGCTTTTTGTTGGGAAGCGTGACATGCAGAAGTTCATACAAAGGAGTAAAGCAATGCTCCGGCCTGCTTCCGCTGCGTGTCAACCCAGCTTGTGCGTCACTCCACCATTTCATCTCAGTCTTTGCACCAGCAGTGACCACGGGGGCTACAACGGGGGCGGAAGCTAGAAGAGCGATGCTGATATTATCTCCGCCTGCACCTAAATGAGTATATTAGTCTCAGACGGCATAGCGCACTGACTTTTATCTGAGAGGTGCAAGGTGTAGGAAGGACAATAAAAGACCTTGGCAACGAGATGCATTGACTGAAGGAGTTTAACGCTTGAGAGCTTCCTAAGGACTTCTGAAGCAATGATTTTCATGCGAGGTTTATCCATGAGCAAGACAGCGCCAGTAGTTCCTTTTTTGACCTTCCATGTTCCTTTGATACCGGCTGTGGCAATCCCAGGCACACCTCTGATGGGTTAAAGCGGGTCGAAATGCAACATCAGAACTGATGACTTCTTGACTCACGCGTGAGATTCAATGTTTAAGTCGAATCTTTTAACGTTCGTCGACCAAATCATGAATTCAGACTCTTCCGGACAGTCTCTGGGTAGATGCTCGTCAGACTCGGGGTCGATACCCACATCGCGGAGATACGACTGGAATTCGTTGGAGTAGACGGAACCTTGAGGTAAAAAGTTGCCCGTGGCTTTGTCAATCCTTCCGTATGACCCAACCTGCTCGACGTCAACATACAAACTAAAGACGACGTGAGCCACTGATCAGACGCACCAAAATCTCCGAGGGTGGGTCCCAGTTGGGATACTTGCTTGTCGTATCGAATATTAGCTGGACGAACTTGCGTTGAGGATTCGACTTGTTCCACATCTGTAGCGAGTATATGGTTTTCCGGTGAGTCACCGTGAGTGACAATATTGAGGACTTATAATGATAATAAAAACAGTGAGGCAGTGCATCGCCGTGTGACAGGCACCCGAAACCCACGAGTGAGAACGTTATGATGGTTCATGATCATGGATCGCGCAAAATAAATGCCAATGTTATATATTCCTTTGAAATCCAAGAGTCAGATATACGTATCAAGATATCACCAGATAAACACTCGGCAGGATGAAGAACAACGACACGAGTGTAACAGAGTGACTCGGTATTCAGGGGTAAAAGTGATGTGCAAACCCATCTTCATGTGCATTACACCCAAACTTATCTACTTTGTCTTATCATTCCATCTGCATATGAGAAGATTACTCAGGACTGGGTCATGAAGGCACGAGTTACGCAGGAACAACTCACAAATCCAAAAATAACTTCCACAGAATTGTAAACATGATTCCTTGGAGGCCATTGGCCAAGATACGGGTTTTCAGTCCCCGCCCGAACAAACCCCTGAGGCCATCTGCTGCGATTACGGCACGGGCAGCATCGGTATATCCAATTCGGGTAGCATTGACTTGTCGGTAGGTCTTCAGCACGCGGAGAGAGTTAGAAATGGTGTCAGAGGCGATGGAAGCTGCAAAGCCGATTACAGCTGAACGGAAGAGTTTCTGTAGCAGAGTTGCTGGAAGTGGAAGGACCGCGTTGAGATAGTTATAGGTCCCGAACCACTGGGTAAAGAATGAGTAATGAATGCATGTCCCAAAGTAAAGTGCCTACTGGGTAGTGACCGACGAATGTGGCAGCGGCGGTCGCGAGAGCGCCATACCACAGGCTGCCAATGCCGTATTTTTTGACCTAGGAAAACGTCAGAACAAGCGATTACCAAATGCGTGGAGATATACCCTGATTCTCAGTAATGCGATGCCTTCTTTACCCTGCGTCTGCATTGTCGTCTTGATCGTGTCAACTGGGGTCAATATCATGCGGAAGCAAGCCGCAGCAACACTCGCGAACACTGTCTTTATAGGCGTGGGCAAGGTCTTCATATATGAATTACTCTGAAGGAGTGCGAGAATGCCTGCATTGGCAGCGGTGTCGCCAAAGCGGGACACTGGCCCTTGAACCAGAGCTGCGGTAAGGCCTTGGTAATACCGCACCCAGCCGCCATCAGCGTATAAGATCTTGGTAGCTTGTGTCATCGTTGTGCCGTATCTGTACTGGTAATTCATGATCGTGCGCAGAGGCTGCATGATTTTCAGCGAAAGTCGGAGACATTCGGTATAAAGATCATACCATGAGCGTCAAGACCTGCAACACCATAGCTACCAGGACATTGAACCTGCGGCAGAGATGTTCCAACGAATAGATTTACTTACCCGCAGCACCACTTAACCCTCCTCCTAGCGCACTCATCAATGCTTTGCCAAGGTCAAACTAACGACAACGTTGGTCATGAGGAAGAAAAGGAACATGCGAGCAGACTATGACTTACATTCACATCATCAGCGTCAATGAAGCCCTTGATGAATGTGGCCAATATAAACAATCCTAGCAATGTCAGAAGGCCATAGACGATTAGTTGCCTCGTGGTCCATGGCTCTTTCAGACTCGGAGTCTCGTCTGTCAAGGTAAGCGCTTCTTCATCCTGAGTGCGACTTGCGTCTGAAGGGTTATCATAACTTGGCGGCTTCGAGTTGGACAACAAAGGTTGCTCCTCGGTAACGTTAATCCCGGCAGACATGAGTGATTAGGATATCGGACGAAGGTCGCACACTGGCCATGATAACGAGATTGCTGACGAATGCGTTGCGAATGCGGAATATTCTCAGAAGACTTATTATAGCCCTCCGCGTGCACTTTGGATAAAAATTAGCACTATGCTCATGGTCGAGCGCAAGTGTCAAGCCTTCGTAACCTGAGTCTGACTTATGCTCACGATGCTCCGACTTGGCGTCCAAGGAGGTGACTTCCATGATGCATCTCCAACCATCACCGGTCAACGATCAGTTCCATGCTATCAAAAAAATTGGTGGTGCGCGATGATTGTGTCTGCTACCTAGTACAACTTGAAGCAAGTTGAAGGAGGTCGGGTACAGTTGCGGACAGGCGAAGTCCGCAAATTTTGTAGGGCCTGCATGTGATTTTTTCAGGCCAAACTGAGGCCCGATCCAAACTCAGGCAGTGAAAATACAGCTAAAAACACTGCTCCGAGGTTTTTCCCACGACATTTTTGGCACGCCAAATTTTTTGACGTCTGGTATGATACTTTCTTCATGACATGTCAATAAAACTATGACAGAACTGCTTCGATTGCCATCATCGCACGCTGCGAAACCTGATGGTGCTGTCTCTGTTTGCGCACAGCCCATTCTGCTGCTTTCCCAGTCAAACCTATTCTGTATGCACTCATAAAACGGTACGATCTGTTGATAAACCGCCGGATAACTTCGACTGGACAGGAATCAAGGATTTCCCACGCCACTTTCTTGGCTGTTGCAAAGCTCGGTTTTGATGCCTCGCGGTAACGGTATTTGCACCAGCCCCAGTACTGCCTCAACAGTTAAGGCTATGAGTTAACTTCGGATATACGGACCACTTACCATCTCGATCGGATTCAGTTCACAGTGAAATTTCGGCAGAAAAATACACTCGTGACCCTTGCTTCTAATCAACTCCTCGAGCATCGATGTCTGACACGAGAAATCATCTTGTTGACTGAGGAGTCGTGCCATACAGCAACTTTTGTTATCGATTGGACAAACAGGAGAGCACTTCGCACGCAAGCCTTGGACATTAAATCCACGCTCCTCGAGAACAGTTTTCAGGCCCTTTGGTTCGTCTTTTGCATTAGTCATCTTTTGCACGAGTCCGCTGTCTTAATAACCGAGGGTCTTATATAAAGTCGTGTAAATGTAATGACACCACAATTACACTTTGGATAAGACTGCTTGCCAGTCCTCGATTAACACGGTCTACGACTTTTCCTATTTCGTGGTAGATAACGTGTGAGTTCTTGGGAGGCTCGCTAAACTAATCTTTGTCAAGATCAACCTAGCCGGAGCTTTACTTTTCTTTATTGAAACTCAAATCTCTTGTCTAGGAATAAGCTTCTAGACACGTAATTCGGTTTCTGGAATGTATTTGCCTAGGAAATCTCCTTCTAGGCTCTGGACTTGGATACTGGAACTAGTGAGACGTGGTCTCAAATATACGAAATATGACCAAGATCGCTTGGTCTATGGACACCTGACTGTGAGACAATGGTCTCAAATATATGATATATGTTCAAGATTGCTTGAACAAAGGGGACTATAACTTGACCAAGATCGCTTGGTCTATGGGACAACTAGTGAGACGTGGTCTCAACAATATGATAGATGACTAAGATCGCTTAGTCAAAGGGCACAGAGCAATGAGACAAAGGGGTCTCAAAGACAATATATGTGACCAAGAACAGCTTGGTCTATAGCACTAAATAAGTTTCTAAGGTAAGAAACTTATAATCTCAAGGGAATTCTTTTCCCTGCACTTGTCTCACTTCAAAGGGACTAACTTTGCAAGTGAAATATCTGAGAGGCAGATTGCTACAAATGGGAGATCATATTTTTTTTGGGGGAGAATGGGCTCTCCTTATATACATTTTGTGTGGGAAAGTAACCTAGGTTCACAAACAATAAAAAATAAGGAGGACCAATCAAAATATTGGGTCAAACCCAATAAAAGAATAAAATACAAGTGAAAGATGGAGCTATGACATCATTGTGGAGCAGAACATTCTGGAATGTGGAGTAATGACATCATTGTGGAGCAAAAGATTCCAGAACCTTCCATGTGTGAGTCAGAGTGAGTCATTGTGGAGCAGAATATTCTAGAAGGAAATGACATCATGAATGATGTCATTGTAGAGTAGAATAATCTAGAGCTTGATGACATAATATCTTTCAACAGAATACCTGCAGGAGTATCTGTGGAGTCTTATGACATCATAATGACATCATACCCTATGGGTACAATTTTATGAAGTGTCAGGTGAGTCAAAGCATCCTAATGAAAAAGTAAAGTAAAGAAACACTAGAGAAAAGTAGGTAGCAAAAATAAGACAGTTGGCAGGAATTGAAACACAGTCAAAAAAAATAATGCAGTTGGCAGGAATTGAAACACGGTCTTTTTGGATAGGTTTTTTATTGGCTTTGTACTTTTCTCTATGGTTTTCTCTAGCCAAAGTGAATAAGCCAAAGGCAAGGCTATACCTTAACCTTCATTTCCCTTCTCACATCAACTAGGTCTAAATGTGATTCCCATCTCACATTAGACTTTTTCCGTCAAAACGTATTCAGATCATGAAACTTGGGGAAAACTAGAAATATGGACCATGGTTTGAAACCAAGGTATGGGTTGACTAGTCTGAGGACTAAGCTAGCAGACTTTATCTTTTGAGGGTCACCTAGTATTCATGTCCATGCATGATTCCCACATCATGCAGGACACCGCGCTTCGAGATATCAGGATTATTTAGAGGGATGACTGTGTCGCGCTGCCGACGCTGCTTGCCACCATCAAACTTGTTCATGTTGAATGCTTTGAGAGCATCGGGAGGAAGAGATGCGTGGGCTGATGAGTTATCAAAAATGAAGAGAGCTTGGCAACCTGGGCTGCTGACTTCCTCGTGGATTTCAATTGCTGATTTCATCTGTTCGAGCAGGTTTTCGTGTGTCCACCAAGGGTCACCGTTGGCACCAGGATAAATGATTTTTCGGGCATCTTTTAGGATTGTGCTGTCAGAATCTTGCAAGATGAGCCGACCATGTTCCTCATTGATGAAATCAGACACGTGAATCAGACGTCCACGTCCCTTCTTGCGTAGAGGTTGCTCGTCGGGCTTTAACCTTGTACGAGAAAAATAAGCTGCAGTATCACCATGACCATCACAGAAGGCTCACCAAGCATTTCGAGCATTGTCGTTGGCGTGAAAACAACATTCGTCATGCCAGTATGGCTTGATCTGACGTTCTCCTTGATTTAGTATTGGATCAATTCTCGTCAACTCTGGTCCTTCAAATCGAACCATCCGTGCCTCAAACTTTGCCATTGCTGGCAGGTAAACCTCCTGTCGATACTTCACAACATCTTCTCGCTCGTGACCATCCATGTAAACTCCTTTCCTTATCATAGTTTTCCGCCACCCAAGCTTTATCAACCACCGTCGAGCTGTGCGTTCGCTAATCGGGTTCTTGGGAACAATACCCAGTTCAGGAAAGATTGTTGTCGTTACTGCACTTTGCAGAGCTTGTGGTGTTACATTTCCTGTTGGCAAATTTGATAGCCACGTTCGTGCACGATTCTGCACTGATTCGTCATGCAAGAAGGACCGAGCATTCTTGCTACCACCTCGCCTTTCAACAGGGAGCTGTTTGAATATTTGGTAGTGACGGGCCAGTGCACGGACTCGACGTGCAAACCAGTTGCCATTCCCGTCATGCCACTGACGAGCAATCTCTAAACTGGCACCAATGCGGGAGGCACCTTTGAGACGAAGAGTAGCGAAGTTGGATAGAATAAGAAGCTGATTGATACGAGAAAGGGGTAAAGCTTTCTGCCCAGCTCGAAGATCATTCTGGATTTGATTGCGAAGTGTTTTCCAGTCACGAATTTTGGTATTGGATGCAACTGTGCTGTCGAGCTCTTGTTCCCACTCCTCTGCATCACCCTCGCCTGAGATATCTTCCGGATTGTCATTTTCATTTGTCGTGTTGTCATGCACAGCATTGGTCTCATCCGAATCACTGGCAGCATCTCGATCATCGACAAAACTTGGATCTGACATCATCGAAACACTTCGTGCACGAGGCAGGATTATCAAAGGGCTTGACTTGAATGCCAGCTCTGCTGGTTCACTAACTGGTGCATCTGATGAGTCAGAGAGTGCACCAGGAGCAATGGAGCCTCGCGTTTGCTGAAATCCGAATGAACTGAGTGATGTTTGGCCCCTCCAACTTTTCTGATAGCGTTGCTGTGTCCGCTTGGACTTGCTCATGACATCGGGGCCCTTAGCATAGGTTGCAGGTCGTGCTTCAGGGAGGTGAGTTGTATGGTATTTTTTGTTGCTTTTGCACTCACGCTTGCGCTTCGCTGCAGCTTTTTGCATCTTCCTTTGCAGCCTTTCAGGAATCCAGTCAGGATCCTTCCCATCTTCTGTTGCTGCCATCTCTGCAAGCTTCTTCCCAAATTCTTCGTCATTCAACACATCCAGTTCAACCTCTTCATCAATGTCCGATTCATCCGAGTCTGTTGATCCACAGTCAACATATTCATATTCTTGCTCGAAGTTGATCTTTAATCCATCGAAAGCCACTGTAAGTGTCTCATCCTCCAAATCAGACTGCCAGCCTGATTCCGTTTGACAAGGACTTGATTCTCGAGTCGAGCCCGCCGAACCCAATGCAGATGCAGGAGAAACACTTTGCGATACTTGATGTCGAAGACCGGTGATGTTTCGTGCTTTTTTTCTGGGACGGCCGCGAGCCATGATGAGTTCAATTGTCAATTGTACAGGTTTTTTCCCATGCCATTTTTTGACGGACTCATGTTTTTCTGATTATCGATTCAAAGACAACTCAGCGAAAGCAATCGATTGCACATTTTTCCATATTTTTAGCGAATTTTTAGGGGGCACGCCAAATTTTGGACACTGGAAATGTCAAAATGGCAGCCATGAGAAATCGGCTCGTGCAAATGTATTCTAGATGTCCATTAGTCTATGAAAACACTGCTTCTAACACTTTCCGTTAAGTTGTGCATCCCAGAAAATTCGGTCTGTAAATTTGCGGACTTCGCCTGTCCGCAACTGTAGTAAAACCCATGGTAAAATTGTTTCGTTATGAACAAAATGAAGCTGACGGCATTTGTGTACAAATAATAGCAATCACTACTCGAACCCTGGTACCTGGTCCTGAGTCCCGTGTCATGAGTACATATAACCGCTTCGTACGATTTATATGTTGTCCGACCACCACGACCGAGACTGTCGAGTTTATACCAAATTTCACCCGCTCCAGTACCCCGCTATAACTTCACTATCATTAGAACGCTAGACATGAAGCTTTGAAGCTTGCGCTAAGGCACACAACGACGCAAATTTACGCCAGGATCAATCCATCACTGATCAATATAAGGTTGGTAGTGCAGAGCACATTGACATCGGTCGTTGCTCTCTGGATATTGCTATCTAATTGCAGGCGGGAACGTTGACATCTATTCGCATTAGCTCCGAAACTTGCTAAAAAGACTTTCTGGTTGCTTTACTGTCCCTGAAGCATCCTTTTTCTTCTTAGCTCTGTACGAAGTGGTCAGTAGCAATGGTCCAAATCACCTCTCTCCTCTGGCAGGTTCTTGTTACTGTCGCGCAAGGTAAATTTGATCCACTGATATCTATTAGTCGACTGACATCTTTTCCGCATCATGATCTAGCCCCTCCTGTTGCACGCAACGGTTCTCCAAATGCCCTTGCAGTCCGCCAGGTAAATACGAGCGACCTTCCTTCTCAATGTCAAAGCACGTGCCAAGTCATCAATACGATAAGTGTGAGTACGCCTGATAACTTGAACTTTTGACATCGCTTACTAGTCGACGCCCCTCCAGGACTGCGCTAACAGTCTGTCTTGCATTTGCGTGTCGTCTATCGGAACCCAACTTCAATCATGCATGGATTGCCTTGTCGTGGCTGAACCATCTGCCTCGATAGACGCTAATTCCGCCATCGACAGCTGGAACGAAGCTTGTGGTGGATCTCTCACTGTTCGTATATGGCTTCACGGGCTCGATTTTGTGGTGCTCTGACAGTGTTTCATATTTACAGCTTACCAGTGGCCAAACTTCCACTTCGACATCTGCTGCTAAGAGCTCTACTGCTACTAGTAGTAGTAGCCCTTTCATTACCAAGACTGGCGATGCTGTGGGCTTGAAGGCAGCTATTGGGGCACTTGGCTTGCTCGTCGCCATTGCTTCTGGTATTAGCATCCTCTGAACATGAGTGTCAACCTGAGTCTCTTAGGGCCGCCTTTTCCTGACGCATCAGCATAACCACACCCTCCCTTCTTAACACTACACAAGTATACATCCTGTTAACAAACACTTTAACTAGTAAATTTATTCGCCGCCATGGCACGGCGCTCGTTGATCTGATGTGATATCGAGAGTTAGCCTCGAAGAGAATTGTCCGAAGTGAGACAAATCGAATGCAATATTTGCGCAAGGTAATTGTTCGTTTTCTGATTTTCGTCATCTCTGCATCAAATGTCATGGTCTGCCAGATGCGTGATATATACCTCGAACACCCCTTGAATACTGTTTGGTAGTTTAAAAATCGACAGTGCTTCAAGTCGATAAAGAATCGTGGTTAGATGGGCGCCGTGTCCTACTTAGTTTCTTCCTTCTGTTCTGTTCTATAGAATTCCTACTCCTACAGTATTTAAGCAGCTATTACCTATCTACTGGTAGCACATTCGAGTAGATTTAGTTCGGATAGTTAAAAACATGTGACATTCCCAAACGTCACATATTTTTAACTGTCCGAACCAAGTCTATATAATTCGGTGGGGGAAAGAAAGATCAAATGTGCCACCAGTAGATAGGTAGCTGCTTAAACACTGTAGGAGGAGGAATTCTATGGAACAGAACAGAAGGAAGAAACTAAGTAGGACATAATGACAACGGTAAATATTGGTTGCCAGGCTTTTTAGCGAGCATTACAGGACGCCTCTCAAAAATGTAGTGGTGTAATCTGAGGTCCACATGTTCACACCTGGCACCACAGATTTCATTATTTTATGCGGACATATATCAATAAACGTAGCTTTAGTTTTCCCAGTCGTAGCGAACTGCGGTACTGCAAGGTTCACATCATGAAGTGCGTGAGGCGAGATCTTACTCACGAAAAGTAACTTCTTCCACAACTGAGAGTAAGAGTACAATATTGTTCAAATAAGCGTCGCTCAGCGGTGTGTCAAAGGCTACCTCCGGCACCTGGAAAGACGCAATTGCTAGCGTCTCTAAAAGACAATCAGCTCGCAATGTAACCAGCTCCCCTACCAGAGTTAATTTCCGCAACATGGGAAGATGAAGCACAGCGAACATGTTGATAAACTCTTGCCTGCGGGATTCCCACAACATGAAGTGCATGGTCAAGGGGGGAAAGGGGAGGATCATCAATTCAAGCACCACCGAGGTAGATAATTTCATCAATTACGATGGTCTCCAGATGAGGGAAACTGTCTATAAAGAAGCATATAGTAACCGCGGAAGCGGCCCACAGATGGATGTGACGTAGATCTCTGCAAGTAATGATGCATGGTGTGGAGTATCCGATTAGGTCATTCCAACAAAAGGTACCATCGATGTATAGGCGGGAAAGCTTTGGTGTATTGAATCTCCTGCATCAATATTTGACTGATGGCACTTCAAGGTTCTCAACTGAGGTGTAGCGTATAGAAATCAGGATTCCAGTCTTTCATGGATGACATAACCACGATTTCCCAACGCTGGCTCTCAGAAAGGAGGACACCGAGAAGTTGAGAGTCTGCCGCTGGTATGGTCCAGGGGTGTTCGTCGCAGCACATGAAGTGTTGGCCGATAATGTTGAGGGTGAGGGGAAGCCTACGAGAGCGAGCCAGCTAACACTGGAGGAAATATGGAAGACATGGTTTCAACGGTTTAACTTTTTCAAGGAGTACGACCTGGATGCGCGACCAGACTCGTGGCGTTGAATACACGACAACTCGCCAAAATTGGCAGTGGGCACACTCTGGTGAGTACTAGGGGAGGGCTGGAAACGTCGAGCGAAATGGAGCGATATCCCGATAAGAAGATATTGGCACAGTCTGGTGTGTCGTCAAAGATAAGCCAAAAGACTTGTTGTAGAAGTTCCACTGGCAGCCGATGGATGTGGACATCAAGTTGACGGGAAATGTTGAACGATGACGAGAGGAGATGGAATCTGTGGATCACGATCTCATGAAGCAACCTCATGCTCTTCAACTCGCCGAATGCTTTTGTCGTTGAAGCGGCAGATCTGGCGTCTTTAGGAGAGAAATTGGGTTGAATAAGTTTTTTTTTTGCATCTTCAAGGAACTGTATGACACCTTGTGTAGATAATGATTGGCAGCAGATGACGCAGTGAGTATTGAGAACGAAATTTATTCAAGAATCCGACAATCCCAAGAAGGTCGCCAGGACGTGAAAATTATAAGGACAGAGGGAGAAGTGGAAAGAACGGAAGAGGTGGAGGACGACAGGCGGTGTGGACAGGCGGAGGGAGGAAGAAATGAATGTGTCACAGATGTGTACTAGTACGTATGTGTCCTCGCGAATTTAAAAATAAGAACCAAACCTAGAGTCCGCCATAGCTAAACAAACAGATTGGGAGGAAATTTGCATATATAATGAACCATAGTCTAAATACATGGTGGACTAATGAGTTTACACAATGAGTCTGAGAGCCTCAAACATGCTATCGTACAGATTAATCTGACAGGGGTAGCGTTGGAAAGCCGTAAACGTCAGTAAAAGCAGAATCGACATCATACAAGGGTATACAAAACCTGAAACAATGAAATGATACAAAAACATATCAGTCATGGTGCCATGAGAGCAGGCGGCCTGTGGAGGAGGTGGTGCTGCGTGGCTAATTGTGCTCGCTCTCCTGCAAGCTTGTTGATCGAGTTCAAGAGATCTCCGCGACGAAGCGGCTCTGCAAAACAAGCATCCGTGAGACTCAGAGGCATGGGTAAATGAGGTACGTACTGGTGATATGGTCGTCCATACCTGCCTGCAGGCATCGCTCGCGATCACCAATCACTAAAAAAGCAAATTAGCATGTACCATCCCTATGTCTCAATATTGTAACGTACTAGCGTGAGCAGTGAGGGCGATGATAGGAATCCGTAGCAGTCCCTTGTGCATCTCATACGCTCGGATGAGCTCAGTCGCCTCCATTCCTCCCATGAAAGGCATCGATACATCCATCTTGGGAGATATTACTATTGTAGGTGAACCATCGAGTAAAAAATGACTTACCAAGATAATATCAAATGGCTTGCTCACTTGTACCCGTGCCTTGAAAGCTTCGACAGCTAGACTTCCATTCTCTGCGATTTCGACTGTGTGGCCGTACTTCTCCAGAATCTTGACTGCGAGCTTCTGGTTCACCATATTATCCTCAGCAAGCAAAATGTCAAAGACAACATCATTTGGTGCCGAGACAGGTGAGACAGTATTTGACTCCAGAGCGGAAATGAGGGCGGAAGCAAGGTCTTGAGCTGTGACTGGGGTAGTAACCTGCGAGCTGATGCTGTTGTCCAAGCACCATTTAACTACGACTGTCAACCCCATATCACCAGAGCACATCCTCGCATACTCACGATTCAGACGTGGCATCGAAGGCGCCAATAATACGATGGGAATATAGCGCAGATGCTCATATTCCCTGATACTTTCGGTCTATGAAGAAGACATGAGGCAAGCGTGAACTTATATGACATCTACATAACGTACCATGCTCAACGAGTCCACGACGATGGTGTCAATATGCGGACAGCGTTCTTTATCGGCCACCTCACTGACATCATGAATGACATATGGCCTCAGCCCAAGCTCTTGGATCCTTTGGACAACCCCAGTCGTGTCGTTAAGGGTGTCAACAAACAAAATAGCACGCCTGTGGAATGGCTGCATCTTTTGCAGTGTGGTCTCCAGCGTACTTTGGGAAATCTGCGATGTGATCGTGAAGAAGAACTTGCTTCCCTTCGAGACCTCGCTTTCGACCCACATGTTGCCTTGCATGAGGTTGACGAGGCGCTTGGAGATGGAAAGGCCCAGACCGGTTCCTCCATATTCCTATGCGATGATCAGCTACTTGCGATAAATTGCGACATGGACCCACTCTCGTCGTCGAACCATCTGCCTGACAGAACGTGTCAAAAATGAGGTTCAATTTATCTTTGGCAATGCCGATCCCAGTATCGGTAACACAGAACTCTAGTGTCACACTCGAGTCATCCAGCGCCAGTAACCTTGTGCTAAGTGCAACGTGGCCTTTGCGAGAAACCTTGGATGGTGTGAACTTGATAGCGTTACCAACCAAGTTCGTGATGACTTGACGAAGTCGTAGCGAGTCCCCGATAAGTTGATCAGGAATGTCCGGGTCGACATCATATGTGAGATCGAGATTGTTTTGAGAGGCACGGACGACAAGGGTCTTGAGTATGCCGAAAACTGTTTGACGAAGGGAGTACGAGACAGCTTCCATGGTCATTCGACCGGCCTCGACTGTAGACCATGTAATCAGATTAATCCATTGACATTGGGAAAAAAAATCTCACTCTTGGAGATATCCAATATATCATCGATGATGAGAAGCAGCGAGCGAGCCAACGAGTGCACTAAGAGCAAGCTCTCTCGTTGCGATCGGTTCAAATCAGAATCAAGAGTAAGCTCCGTCATGCCAATAATTCCGTTCATGGGCGTCCTATAAGACAGTGAGCAGAGTATCGAGACGAGAAGTAATGACACTATTACCTGATTTCGTGTGACATGTTCGCTAGGAACTCAGATTTACTCCTGTTTGCCAGCTCGGCTGCCTCCCTTGCAGCGGTATTTTTCTGGATACTGTCACGTAGATTAAATACCATCTGATTGATCTGTGTTTTCAAAGAGTCCATCTCTCCGCTGGCTTCAACAGTGATGAAACGAGTGAAATCTCCATCCATAGCAGCTGCTGAGATCTGGGCAAATCCACGCACTTGCGTGGTCAAGTTGCCGGCCATAGTATTGACGGACATCCTACAGCGTTGTCAACTCCCGTTTCCACGGATCGTGTCCCTCACTTACGTGATTTCTTGCCAGATACCCTGGACGTTGCCCACCTCAGCCTGGACACCCAATTTACCCTCTGTACCGACTTCGAATGCGACCTTCTTGACTTCCTTGGCGAAGATTGCCAATTGAGCAATCATGTCGTTGATAGTGTTGACTAGGCTTAGCATTTCTCCAGACACAGAGACACCGGTGATTTGCTGAGTTAAGTCTCCGCGGGCGACAGCAGTCTAATGACAAACTCAACAGAAGGACTGGGTCGCGGTAATCAAATACTCACAGTTGCAACAGCGATAGTTCGGACTTGTAAGGTC